TTCCCCATAATGATTTGTATTGGATGTGCATTTAATTCCTTTTTCCTTTCTGTCCACTTTATTTTGCTGCAACCAGATTGGTCTTTCTTCTGCATTTCTTGAGCATGCTTCTTAGAGTTACGAAGCATTTTTTGCATGCCTGCATTTACTTCATGCTTCTTTCAAAAATCTACTTTCACGCTTAGGTAAGCTTGGTTCTCTCTTTAAATACCAGATCATTTTTTCACTCACTCCACACTTAATCCATCTTGATCCAACCTCTCCTAGAAACCATGTCTGATCATCTCCGTTCTCTTGGCTTTGTTCATACCTATATCTCATCCATCCATAGAGAACCTGCCATCATAAATCATCACCGCTACCTTGAATCCTTTGATCAAAGGCCTCTTGCCTTTCAAATCCGCATTGATCCTCATGAGTTTATTCCCTTTGGGATGGACATCATGCCTCTGATTAATGCTCTTGGCTGGGATTTTCTCATAAATATTCCTGCCCAACCAGCTTGTCCTGAGCTTGTCAAGCATTTTTACAGCAACCTGCGCTGTCTTGGGATTCATACCAAAAGGTTCTCCACCCTTGTCTATGGACATCTGCTTTCCATTCCCATGAGAGCCCTAAGCATTATTCTTGGATATCCATCCTCTGGTCTTGCTCTTTGCCACACGTCTGAGATGTGGAAGTTTGATTTCAATCTTGATATTGAGGGATCTAAGTTCTCTGGTCAACCAGCCACTACTACATTTACAGCTTTCCCAGCTTCTCGCCTATGTCCAAAACTTAGAATCTTTCATTACTTCCTCACTCGAGTGCTGTTGCCTCGTGGGTTCTCAAGAGATCAAGTCCTTCCTCTTGATATCTGGGTTCTGTCTCATGCCACTGCTGGACAGAAACTTGATTTTTGCTCACTGCTGTTTGGAGCCATGATCTCCCCGGGTGATGGATCTCTGCCTTTTGGAGGGATTATCACTACCTTCCTGGCCAATATAAATATCAACATCTCTGGCTTTCGATCAGAAACTCCTACCATTCACCTCAGTGCTAGAAATGTGCTGGCTTGCCTGGGCTTTCAAGTTCCCACTTCTCCTGCTCGGTCACCATTAAGAGCACCTGCCAACCTTGGCCTTATTTTTGCTCTTGATGACTCGTCATCAGTTGAATCTGATGAAGATCTTAATGATGACCCCAGCTCTCCAGTGCCAGGTCCTTCGCAGTAATGACTGTTTGTCTCAGGGGGAACTTTTTGTGGCCTGTTCCCAGGGGGAATGTCTGTTGAAGCTATTCTATGTTGTTATTTTGCACTCCAAACTTTGCCAAGATTGCTAGACTCATGTCATGGTTGACTATTTTGCAATCCGTGGGTGATTGCTGAACTTATGTGTTATTTTGCTCTGCTTTGCAACCCATGGGGGTCTGCTGAATATTATCTATTTATGTTATTTTGTTATGCTTTGCAACCCATGGGGGTTTGCTGGACATTTTTTTTGTTCCCTGTTGTTTCTGGAAATGGTGTCTGCTTGTGTGTGTTTCATTTTCAGGAAATGGAGGATCGGCTGAAGGGGGAAATTGTGAGACGAAAAGTCAGCTCCTGCTCTCCAACATACAAAACGACGCCGCTTCACCAAACGACGCCGCTGGACGCATACGACGCCGGATGAAGATAAGGCCTGGAGCTGTCTTCGTGAATCAGCCTTATCCTCCAGAATCGCCTTCCTCCTCCAATCTCAAGAGACACAGAACCTCCTTTTGCCAAGAACAAGCTCTCCTACGATCTTGTGCTTGTCAAAAGCACACCTACAGCCACAACGGTCCTAATCCTCAGCCCTTTTTAAAGACCTCAAAAGATCATGAGAAGATCAACGGTTGTAGCTTGAATTGTGAAATCATTGAGCTGTCAAGGGTTCGGGTTTTTGTTCATCTTCAGTCTTCTTATCTATAGAGATAGATTCTGGGTAGATAGGAAGTGGGAAGATTGTTCAGGATCTTTGTTGATCGACCATACTTCTGGTCGAGTTTCTTTTCGTTTCTTTCTTTCGATCTTTGTTTCCAAAATCGCAGACATAATGGCTGCAGAATGACCCCTGTTAGTTAATCTATCTTCGTATTATTCAGTCATTCTGTGACTCATTCTCCAAAATCCTAAACACAAAAAACGTTTCCTTTCCCAGCCTGAAATCTCAAATTCCCCCTTCTCTTTCTCGTCCATGCAGGTGTCCCTCTAGCATAATAAAAATACGACATTTTGTAGGTTTTGCAGGTCGAGAATCTGCGCCGAAAATCTTCCCTATTAATTGATAAAATATAATACTATTAATTAAGAATGCAGAGAAATTAGCACATTTGGGTGAAATCAATTTTAAAGAGAAGGAAGAGAGTGATGGGGAACTTCTATGGTGCGTACTCGTCAATGCAGGTAGGAACACATCATAAAATTAAAACCTCTCCTTCCGATCCTCCTCGTTCTTTTTCTTGACGGGGCCAGGTCGAGTGATTCTCGACCTGATCCCTCCTCGTCTTTTTTTTCGGTGGTCAGGTCTGACTCGACCTGACCACCACGTACCATCCAAACCGCCCCGAAACAAAGCAGAGCATAGAGAGCTAGCAATAAGACAGAGAGACAGAGAGGGTTGAAGGGATTGTTTATTATTACCTGCAGGTGGATGGGATTGATTGATTCAATGATCACAGAGAACTGCTGCATGCAACTCAAAAAGCTCAGTAACAGAGAGAAACAGAGGACGAGAGAAACGCAGAGAAGGGAATGGTTATAGGTAGGGGTGGAAATCGGTACGGTATCGGTATCCCAATACCAAATACCGAAATCCCGAATACCGAATTACACCCTAAAATCAATCCCAATCCCAATCCCTAAATAATTTCGGTATCCCAATCCCAATCCCTAAATAATTTCGGTATCCCAATCGGTACCTCGGTATCCCAATCGGTATTATCGAATACATAATTAATTACCTTTGCAATTAATAATTAAATATATAAATGAGATTTTATTGTTTAATTTAGAGCAAAGAGACTAAGCAAATAGTCTTGAGTTGCCTAGAGCTAACATCTTAAGTTCTTGTAATTGGTAATCTTTAATTTGACGAATTTGAGGTTGAGAGACGACTAATACTCGTGTGAAATTGTGATGTAATGATCTATGTATAATTAAATGACACTTTTGGTGGTTGAGGGTCGCGTAGTATTGAATGAGAGAGTCTAGTTGAGAGGATAAAATACACACTAGCTTATATTTCGGTATTGATCGGTATTTCGGTATATACCGATCCCAATCCCGTAATCCCTAATACCGAATAACAATTGAAATTCAATCCCAATCCCAATCCCACAAAATAATACGTGTATTCGGTAATACCAAATATAGACAAATTCGGTACGGTATTCGGTATATCCCAAATACCGGTACCAAACTTCCAGCCCTAGTTATAGGAGAAGAGAAGAGTGCACTCTTTGATTTATTAATCAGTTTTTTTCCTCTATTGGTGAAACTTTGGTGTATGTATTGCATGCGCCTCCCATTCTTACCCAACAAGTTAAATGATGATGTTTCCATGATTTACAACTCCTCAAATAATAAGGATTGTGAAGCAGTACAGGAGGTTATATCATAAAGCTAGCGATATATGATATTTTGTGATAAAATTATGGTTTAATAGTCTCATACCACTAAAAACTAGCTATCGCTAAAAGATGTTTACGGTCGAACCTCTAATACGGTACAGTTTCACAAACACTTACAAATAATAGGCCATGCCATGTGTGCGTCACAAAAGTGGGAGACAAGGAAACCACTAATTAACTAAACACTGATCAATAAAGTATTGTTAGCTCTTATCCACTTCTGGATTAAATTCTTCATATTGTATTATTATTAGTTTATGTTATATAATCTAACTTATGAGGACTTTAGTATAACCTTCCAAAAATCCAAATTGTTGGCTTCTGTACTGCCAATTCTCAGGTTACCAAATCCAGCGGCTACCCCCAACTGTGGTTTTGGACCATTCTGTCCCATTCCGACTTCCAATTAACAATAATAATAATTAATATTATTGTTAACTTATTATATATTATAAAGCAAAATACTCGCTTTTGGGCCCCAGATCGCAGGCTTGCAAAGATAATTGTTGGGCTGCTGAGCCCAATTTGCATGCTTTTAGGCAAAAAGTAAATAGAAGCAACAACAGGCGACTACATAGCATAGCAACAACAGGTTTGCAGATGGTGGTGACCCAGAAAGAGAAATACGAATCATAGGCCCGCAACATAGCATTGTAACATGATTTGGGCTGGGTTGAAGTTTCAAAAAAAATCTCCTTTTTTTGTGGGCTTTCAACGGGGGAAGCCCACTACTATAAAATTCATATCACGAGTGGAAAGGCCTTCATGGCTGGGTGGGTTGAGGTTGAATAGTCAACAGTACTTGACAAAAATAAAACGTGCATTACCATGCACGTAACGTAAGCTCTAGGTCCACCCGAGAAAAAGAAGAAAGAGATAGTAACGATGATAAGCTCATAAGGTTCACTCATACCTCTAGTGGAGGACTTAATTTGTGTGGAAACTTAGTTGTGTGGTGCAGATTTGAGTCTCGAGTCTATGTCCTTTAGCGTGGAAGCTTCAGTTATGGTGTGCATTTTACGCTCACCCTGTCAAACTAATCTCAAGTCAAGGTCTTTCTCTGGCTTTGTACTTGCTCTCCATGGAGGTTCCCTATATAATATATACTCTCCTCCGATCCCCCAAGCAGCTAAGCAAAGCCATTGAAAGAGAGATATTGAAACTCCATCCATCCATCCATGGCGAAACTAGCAGCTGTTTTATCCCTCCTACTAACGCTGCAACTATGCTGCTGCGATGCGTCTAACCATTCATATCCTCCTCCTCCTCGTCCATCACTTATCTCTTCAGAACGTTGTCGTCCTGACGAGAGCACTGCACTGCTGCAGTTCAAGAACTCCTTGGTCAATCACGACGACGACAAAATGGCAACGTGGAAGGAAGGATCGGAGTGTTGCTCGTGGGAAGGTGTCACTTGCGACCGTTTCAGCAGTCATGTCGTCGGCCTCCACCTTGGTTGTGACCAAGTCCAACCTTCCTACACCCCTTGTCGGTGGTTTAAGGGGATTCTGCATCCAAACAGCTCCCTCTTCCACTTGCGGCACCTCCGGAGCCTCGATCTGTCCGACAATGACTTCAATGGCTCCACCATTCCCTCAACCTTCACCCAGTTGACCAGCCTGGCTCATCTCAACCTCTCTAGATCGAGGTTTTCCGGTAACATCCCGCTCGGGTTCAGCCAACTCAACAAGCTTGTCACACTTGATCTTTCCTATAATTGGCCATATGTTGACCTAGAAAGAGCACTCTCCTTTCGCGACAACGACGATTTCTCCAAGCTGATGCTGAACGCCACGGGATTAAGCGAGCTTTGGCTTTATGGTGTGAATATGTCAAACATCAAGCCCTCCTCCTTCTCCAACTTATCACACTCCATGACATTTATCTCCCTTTACCACTCTGGATTAGTAGGGGATTTTCCGGAGAGCGTCTTCCGCCTCCCAAACCTCCAAGGGTTTGTTCTCCTAGAAAACCCACAGCTCTCCGTTCAATTTCCATTCTCGAATTGGACTGCTGGCCACCTCAAGGTATTAGCTCTCTCCTCAGTCAATTTCTCTCGACAACCGATGATCCTCGCTTCAATCGGGGATTTGAAGTCCTTGCACACTTTATTCCTTCAAGACTGTTCATTGTCGGGGTCAGTCCCAGCTTCTATAGGGAACCTCACGTCCTTGACTGATTTCGGCCTTTCAGGCAATTCATTATCCGGGAGATTTCCTGATAATATTCTCCCAAACCTAGTTCAGCTGGAATACTTGCTTTTGGGTGACAACAAATTTTCTGGCGGGTTTCCCGACATTTTCGGTAACCTCTCACACAAACTTACATATCTATACGTTTACAATAACAATTTCACAGGTCCTATTCCATCTCTCATCTTTAACCTGCCAAAACTTCAAACCTTGGATTGTTCATACAATCAGCTTGTGGGTCCACTTCCAAGTCAACTAGTCAATTATATTGGCTTGAATAGTATACAGCGGATCGACTTGGGAGGTAACTTCCTCAATGGAACTATCCCATCTTGGATGCTAGCCCTTCCATCCTTGGAGCGGTTGGACCTCAGGTCTAACTTGTTAACAGGAGAGATCCCTGAGTTCCAATCGAGTTCCTTAGAAGGGATTTTTCTACAACAAAATCAATTGTCTGGTCCTGTACCAAACACAATCTTCAACCTTGTGAACGTTTACCAGATCGATCTCGGTGCAAACAGGTTGAGCGGTGTCTTCCATTTGGATAGTATTACAACTCTAGAAAATCTTCGAAGTCTTAGCCTTTCATATAATAATAATATTTCAATACTATTTGGTAGCACTCCACATAATTCTACCTGGATTTCCCCACTTATATACTTAAACCTATCTTCTTGTAACATTACCAGAATCCCAAGCTTCTATCTTGACTTCTTTCCCTCTCTCGAGACACTTGATCTCTCTCACAACTTTTTAAACTCCATGACCATCCTACCACCTCACATGGAGAGTCTTCAATACCTTGACCTAAGCTACAACATGATTGAAGGCCAACTTTCTATCCCGTGGAGTCCTCAACTTCAATATTTGTTAGTGGACAATAACAAGTTGACAGGGAGGATGCCACATCACATATGTAATATCACCACCCTTGACGTCATCAACTTGTCTAACAACAGCTTGAGTGGCAGCATACCTGAATGCTTGGTCAACCTTACCGATTTGACAGTCTTGCAATTGAGGATGAACAACTTCCACGGTTCAGTTCCATCCATATTTGGCAATATGAGCTCCTTGGAAAATCTGGACTTGAATGACAACACATTGGGAGGTCCATTGCCGCAAAGCTTAGCAGCGTGCAAGGAGCTTCAAGTATTGGATGTCGGGAACAATGAACTTAATGGTGTTTTCCCATTTTGGTTGTCATCTCTTCCCCAACTGAAAGTTCTCATCTTGCACAATAATAGTTTCCATGGCACTATCACGACTGAGAGTATGGACAGCTTTCCCATGTTGCGGATATTGGACATCTCCAACAACTACTTCAACGGTCTTCTGCCCGCAAGCTTGTTTCACAAGTTCCGGGCCATGATGATGCTGCAAGAGTCCGAGAAAGTTGGAGTAAATTACATTGGATGGTCAAGTAGTGGTGAGTACTACTCTGTTGTTCTGATAGTGAAAGGCCAAGAGATGATGATAACAAAAATCCTCACCATCTTCACCACCGTGGATTTGTCGAACAACTATTTCCACGGCAGTATTCCAGACGCAATTGGAGAGCTCAAATCACTCAAGCACCTCAATCTCTCACACAACAGCCTCAGTGGCCCAATTCCGTCTTCCCTCGTGAACTTGACCGAACTCGAAGCCTTGGATCTCTCCTCCAACCAACTTACAGGGGAGATCCCGCCGCAATTCACAAGTCTGACTTCATCTCTTGCAAAATTCAACTTGTCGCAAAATTTACTCCAAGGGCCGATACCTCAAGGCAGTCAAATCCAGACATTTGATAATACTTCTTACATTGGAAACGAAGGAATGTGCGGGCTTCCGTTGTCCAAGAAGTGCGGAGGCGATGATCATAATGATCATGAGGATTCTGAACCAGAATCCGAGTCCAATGGCGGAACACTGTTTGATTGGACATTCGCAGGTGCTGGGTATGGATGCGGGCTAGTGATCGGAGTATCGACCGCCTACATTATGTTCATAATCAGGAAGCCACGGTGGCTGGTGGAGATGATAGATAACTGGATTCGGCGGCAACACCAGGCTAGACGGTGGAGGCCGGCGATAAGATTTTAAGACTGCTGAATACTGATCAAGGAAGTGCAAGTCGGCGTTGCTTTCCATGTTCTCTGTTTCGTCATGTGTATGTGTAATATCGGTAGCTTACCTGTACCTTCATAGTGTTGCTCCTTTCATGTATAACTAGAATCAATACCCGCGGCTACGCCGCAGGGAGTATTTGGTTATAGGGCAGAAAATTTGGTTATGGCAAGCTAACCGAAGTCTGATTCGAATTTTACGATTAATAGTCAATCAAGAACAATAAAATGAAGGAATAGAATAGTTGCAGATTTAGTTGTAGATAATCTTTGGTGTTTGATGTAACTGCACACCAAACTGCAATACAAAATCTCCAAATAATCGCAAAATTAAACTACCCGAAAGCCAAATGGCCTACCCCATTAGGTAACCTAAACCAAAAAGAATGACAAATAGGTTAATTGATTGAACGCAGTTAACCGCAACATAACCAAAATCATAATATTCAGTTCTCAAGTAACTGCAACAACTACAATTGCTAAAATGACAGCAATTCGATTTTTGATAACCAACCAATTTGGTTTGATTAACATAAAATGAACCGAGTTTCAGTCCTATTTGGTTAATGTATAGACATGTCTAGTATCAATCCAATTCGACCCGCGCATCACCTGAAACACATAGATTTATGTGTCATATAATTCGATTTGGGTAGTGCATCACTTGACCTGAGGCATATGACTTGCATGGTTGAGAGGGTTCAAAACTAACTCACCCCGATTCATGTAGACCCCTAATCATAGTTCATTTTATTGGTCTCCTTTCCTTAAAACTAACAAACGGAAAGAAAAACAATGAAGTACACAATAGATGTCAAACAACATAAAACAAATTAAAAATTGATAAAAAGCTTATTCTACATTTACATGAGATAAGTGTAAGAAACTATTATCATGCTTTATTAGAACCTTGGTAGGTCCGAACAAATTGGGATTAAAAAAATTTATATTTTCTTGTTATCTAGTTGGCCTTTCTCGCTAAATGGAGAGTGAAGCAGTTGTTGATATCTCATATGTCTTTCGACATCTATTATATTATTAACCATTTTTGTAGTCCGTGATGATTTCCAACAATACTTAGCTACCATTCATTGGTAAAATGGGGGAATGAACATATATTGAGTGAACAATGCATAAATAGGAAAGCTACGCCTAACCATCATGACTCATATAATAAAAACTCTTGGAGAAAACATGTAAAATTTCAAAAAAAAAAAAATCATTGAATAATAACATTCAACTTGTTGTGAGTGAGGAAGAGAGTTAGAAGGTTATCGATCGAGCACAACTTTGACTTGGATCATGAAACATACAATGAATTAACTACTACATAGAGCGATTGCATATCCATATGATAAGCGAATTCAACAGTAAAAGTGAACGCATACATATGATTATTATTCATAAGCCTAACATGTACAACACCTCACCTCTAACTCACTAACAAAAAAAAAATTCATTGTCCATACAACTTAAGACACCACTAATCGTTGTCTCTTGCAAGTCTAATATATTAAGAAAAAATAAGAACATTCATGATATAATTTGTTGGATCCAAGTTTTATCAACCAGTTAATTCGTTGGATACACAAATCCGATCAAGTAAAGATGGAAGCAAAATGATAGAATTGTAGCAATCACTTATATATGTAGCAAAACTTAACAATTGAACAGAGGAACAAATTGACCAAATCAAAAGCAATATAAAGCACTAAGTTTCATTACCAACAACCACCAATAAGACCACGTTGTAAATCAGAAAAAGAAAGTAAGATGTGCACAGTGAGCAACATATATTAGCATATGAATTTTCCTCATTATTAAATTTATTCAGGTTTCATTTTCTTGAAATCAAATTGAACCGTTTAAGCCTCTTAATAGTTCATTTTTAAGGATATTACTTGTTCAAATTTTGCGGTTTTTATTTTCGATTTGATTTAGTTACTGAAATCAATCTTCCATCATAGTCATACATATAACAACTTTGATCAAATAATAAAGACCTTTTCTTTTAATATATTTGAGTGTATGTGAGGGATGGGGTAAGATGACAAACCCTTTCATCCTCGCTAAAGTTCAGGTAATTCCTCACTACATTTTCACAAACCTAAAGAACTTGAAAATATCATTTGTCTGTGGTATCCTATTCATGATTTTCAATGGCTTAACCCAATCACACAAAGAGTTTTCCTGAGAGTAGTTGACACCTGACCTAATTTGTAATAAAAAGAAAATGAATTCATCATCAAGCCCTTTCATCCTCGCTAAAGTTCAGTTAATTCTTTACTACATTTTCACAAACGTAAAGAACTTGAATATATCCTTTGTCTGTGGTATCCTAAACGTGATTTTCAATGGCTTAACCCAACCACACAAAGAGTTTTCCTGCGCGTAGTTGACACCTGACCTAATTTGTAATAAAAAGAAAATGAATTCATCATCAATGTTTACTTCCCTCATAGCAATAATGAAAAAATCAATTAATTAAGATTTTGGATAATCTGAAGACCAAAATGAAAGATGGCAAAGTGTGCCATACATAGGACTATCCGTTCGGATTCAATTTCTTGAATTTCAACTAAACGAACAGATAAGGTGCTCCTATCGTTTTTTGGTTTCGGTCTCAAACTTTTTTTGCTTAGCGTTTTTTGTTTGGTCAAAACTGAAAAACTGAAAACAATAAAAATAAAATAAAAACCAATACACAAACACTCAATATTCAATTAAGCATTGTGTTTCATTTTCTTGAAATCAAATTGAACCGCTTAAGCCTCTGGTTTCAAGGAAATTATTTTACTCGATTTTATTTTCGACTCGATTCGGCTAAACAAAGCAATCTTCCCCTTTGTTATACATACAATATCTTTGACCATATGGTAATTTTTTTTAAATATATTTGAGTGTGTGAGGGATGGGGTAAGATGGCAAGTTCTTTCATCCTCACTAAAAGACAAAAATTGAAATAGTAACTTTGGCAAAAAAGTGTACCTAGCTTTTATGTAGTAACTTTGGCAAAAAAGTGTACCTAGTATAAGATAAAACTAGTTAATTCGTTGGATACACAAATCCGATCAAGTAAAGATGGAAGCAAAATGATAGAATTGTAGCAATCACTTATATATGTAGCAAAACTTAACAATTGAACAGAGGAACAAATTGACCAAATCCAAAGCAATATAAAGCACTAAGTTGGGCAGGAAAGGAAGAATGTGATTCTATTGTGATGAATGCTTGGGCATCGGAAGGCTCTCATGAGCAACGAGTTAAGAGATGTAAAGATGATCTCATGGAGTGGGCAAAAGGAATGATCCAAGCGCAACATCAAAGAGAAAAGGACATTCGTCTCCGACTAGAGTCACTCTCCAATTTGTTTCGATCAGAGGAAGTACTAATTGAGGAGAAAGGGTTGCTTGAGGAATTGGATCACTTATGGAGAGATGAAGAGAGAATGTGGCGACAACGATCTCGCATTCAGTGGTTGGCGGAAGGAGACCGTAACACCAAGTTCTTTCACAACTCTACGGTTTTTAGACGCCATTCCAACCGAATTACGGGATTGAAGGACCAAAATGGAGCATGGATTAAACAACCCTCACTTCTCTCTCACCATATTAGAGATTTCTTTCAAGACCTATTCACGACGAAGGATTCGGGGTTCAACAACAACCTCCTTCATGACTTTCCTAGGCTGGTCTCTCATGGAATGAATGATACTTTGAGCGCCCCAGTTACGAGAGAGGAAATCAGGAAGGCTGTCTTTTCTTTGGGGGCGCACAAATCGCCGGGGCCCGATGGCTTCAATGGATTTTTCTTCAGAAGATATTGGGATCTTGTTGGAGAAGAGCTTTGTAGGTAGGGATGGCAATCAAACCCATGCCCACGGGTATCCGACCGCCCCCGACCCAGTCAACGCGGGGAATCCCCGCTTTGACTGGGTATGGGGCGGGTATGGGTAAAACCCGCAAAATGTTTGATGGGTATGGGGCGGGTATGGTTTTAGCCTCCCCCGCCCCATACCCATACCCATACCCGCCCCACCAAGAATATTTGTTTACATATAAAAAATACATGGATGAAATATCAATGATAGTAAGGGTAAATAAAAAAAAATAGTAGAAATGCAATTGAGTGGTCTCCCAAATCAAAACCTAATTCATTTTCTTCGGCTTTCTCTTCACTCTTTCACTTTTCCCTCGTGTTAGCAAGATTATATTAGTTCATTATTGCTTAGTATATGTATTAGAGTCAGATAAATAATGATTTGGATTACATTGTAGTACTCTATTTTATGGATTAAGGGAAATTTTAGGATAAAATGCTTTGAACCATATTAAGAATTATTGTCACTTTCTCGACTTCATGATATAATAGGTGCCTTTAATGTTATAATTGAAAATTTACATGTAAAATTTTATGTATTATAATGTTGGATGTACGGGGCGGGTATTACCCATGGGTACCCGAAACCCACGGGTATTACCCATGGGTACCCGAAACCCACGGGTATGGGGATGGGTTTGCAAAATCTTCCCCCGCATGGGTATGGGGCGGGTATGGGTTTGAATATTTGAAAGCGGGGATGGGGATGGTTTAGGCAAACCCGCCCCAAACCCGCCCCATTGCCATCCCTATTTGTAGGGAGATTCTCTCTTTCTTCAGTACATCGTCTCTTCCGGCTGGATGGAATGACACTCATATTGCTCTTATACCGAAAATCCCATCCCCGGAGAGGATTTCTCAGTTTCGCCCTATTAGTTGCTGCAATTTCAAGTAAAAGGTGATTTCAAAAATCATGTCAAGTAAGCTCAAGGACATGATGCCTGACCTTGTTTCTGAAATGCAAGCGGCTTTCACAGGAGGACGCATGATCCAAGACAACATCATCATCGTCCATGAAGTCCTTCATCAGTTCAAGAAAAGGAAGAAAGGACCTAGGTTCGACATGATGCTCAAGATGGATATGAGGAAGGCTTATGATCTTGTGGACTGGGACTGCTTGGACGCTCTTCTCGATGCCTATGGTTTCAATTCTACCTGGTGCAGTTGGGTAAAGGAGTGTGTTCGAACAGTTCGCTTCTCCATTCTGCTTAATGGGGGTCCAACTGAGTTCTTCACCCCGTCCAGAGGCATCCGACAAGGCGACCCTCTTTCCCCTTTCCTCTTTATCTTGTTATCTAATGCCCTTTCTTTCCTGATTGATCGAGGTATTTCACAGGGAAACATTAAAGGTCTCAAGCTCAAGACTGGTTGTCCTCTTCTATCCCATTGCCTCTTTGCTGACGATACAGTCATCTTTGGACGAGCATCTTTAGAAGAGGCAGGGGCTATCATGAATATCATCAATGGATATGGATACATTACGGGGCAAGAAGTCAACATGGAAAAATCTTCTGTCTTCTTCAGTAAAAACACCCCGGATTCCTTACGACAACAGATCACCTCCACTTTCGGATTCCCAATGTCCATCAACCATGATAAGTACTTGGGAGTTCCCACTGAATGGGGTCGTTCAAAGAAGGAGACTTTTGCCTTTCTAATTGAAAGAATGGAAAAGAAAGGAGAGTCATGGAAAAGTATCATGCTTTCTCATGGTGGAAAAGAAACGCTGCTTAAAGCTGTTATTCAAGCGATTCCAACCTTCATTATGAGTGTTTTTCTCCTTCCGGCAACTTTAACAAAGAAGATGGACTCCCTTCTCCGAAATTTCTTTTGGTCCGGGTCAATGAAGAAACGCTCCATTCCATGGAAAAAAGGGGAAGTGCTCAATAGCTCTAAATTTGAAGGCGGGCTTGGTTTCCGAAATTTTCACATGTTTAACCTCGCTTTGATTGCTAAACAGGGATGGAGGTTAATGAATGAACCGGAAGCGTTATGGGCACGACTTCTTCGTGGAATCTACTTTCCAGGAGGGGACTTTCGGATGGCACGTAAAGGGAGCTCTCCATCATGGATATGGGCGGGCCTATGTGAATCTCGACGAGCTTTGGACATTGGGACAATTCGAGTTATCGGTTCTGGAAAGGATACATGGTTTCATTGTGACCCTTGGCTCCCTTCCCTTGAGGGTCACAGGATTGGAACCCCTTCTGTTCCACGGTCAAAGGTTTGTGATTGGATGAATGATGACACAAGAGAATGGAATTGGAATCTTGTCCGTAACCACTGTTCTCTTGCTGAAACGAATGCGGTTTCACGCATCAAGATTGGACCAGCTGATTCTTGTAATAAATGGGTATGGAAGTTCACATCTAATGGTGCTTTCTCGGTCAAGTCCGCATACCATGGACTTAGAGAACAGCATAGGCAGAATTCATCCCCAATTATCCAAGACCTTAACTTTCCATCGATGGACGATTGTTGGAAATGGTTGTGGGCTTTGGAGCTTCCTCCAAAGATACGCTTTTTCTTTTGGAGATGTCTCCAAAATGCAATTGCTACAAAAGTCAATCTTCATCACCGTCATTGTGCCCCTAACCCCAAATGCCAGCTTTGTGACGCGGAAAGGGAGACTCTGATCCACTGCCTATTCCTTTGCCCTCATGCAAAGGAGACTTGGTCAAAAGTGTGGCCTTCTTTCATCCCTCCGATCAATTTCAGCCACTGGTTCTTTTCATTGAGGGACACCCCGAATGTTGACTCTCTTCGTCAAAAGGCTTTTTGCCTTTGGAATATCTGGAAAGCTCGTAACGACTTCATCTTTCGAAGCATCGCTTTGTCCCCCACGATGACCTCAATCCTAGCATATCGTGATGCTACTGAACCTGTTTATGGAGGATCCACCTCACCACCTACTAATATGCCTAGGGACAATCTTTTGCAATCTTCTCCACCGCCGAGTAATCCCATCAAGAGGATTCACTGTGATGGATCATTTGATAATGATTCACATGAGGCGGCTATTGTGATAGTTATTACTAATGCTCATGGACAGATTTGCGATGGACGGGCAGGTAGGGTCATTTGTTCATCCCCGATTGAGGCTGAGGCTCATGCTATCTTGGAAGCATGCTCTTTGGCAAAACTTGACAGCTCCTCGACGATTATCTTTTCGGACTGTAAATCTCTTGTCGATGCCCTGAGTGGTGAGCCTTCATCATGGCCATGGCGATGTTTTGCTCATCTCTCATCCATCGTTCATATCCTTAGAGAGGCTAATTGGATCAGCATCAAGTTTGTCAATCGCCAACACAACAAGAACGCGGATTGGGTTGCCCGTAATGCTCGTCTTAATACTCTCCCACCCAATTGGACCACGGTCCTTAGCATTGTATCTCCCTTGTTGTAACCACTCACCCTTTCGGGCTTGAATCAATGAAATTGCTATTCAAAAAAAAAAAACAACTTATTTGGGGGAAACTACTAATTAACTAAACACTGATCAATAAAGTATTGTTAGCTCTTATCCACTTCTGGATTAAATTCTTCATATTGTATTATTATTAGTTTATGTTATATAATCTAACTTATGAGGACTTTACTACAAGAAAAATTGGTTCCAGCAACCAACCATTTTCTTAGCGACCATAAGAAAATGGTTGCTGATAACTTGGTTTTTGGCTACCATTCACAAAATGGTTGGTGATGTCCAACTTTTGAGCAACCATTATAAAATGGTTGCAATAAGATAGAACTTCTGCGACCATTTGTGAAATGGTTGCTAATACCTAACTCTTCAACAACCATTTGGTAAATAGTTGTCAAAAAATTAATACTTTAGCAACCATTATCAAAATGTTTGATGATACTTGATGTTTGAGCTACCATTATTTAAATGGTTGCCGATTGAACAAAGTTTGAGCAACGACTTGTAAAATGGTTGTCGAAAAGTCACTACTTGAGCAACCATTATTTAAATAGTTGTTGGTACCTGTTGTTTGAGGAACACCTTGTAAAATGGTTGTCGAAAAGTCATTACTTGAGCAACCATTATCTAAATAGTTGTCAGTACCTGTGTTTGAGCAACTATTACTTAAATGGTTGCCGATTGAGCAAAGTTTGATCAACTATTTAAAGGATGGTTGCTGAAATAACAATGCTTCAGCAACCATTATCAAAATAGTTGCTAGTATTTGATGTTTGAGCAACTATTACAGAAATGGTTGCCGATTGAGCAAAGTTTGAGCAACGATTTGAAAGATGGTTGCCGAAAAGTAAATACTTCATCAACCATTGTCAAAATAGTTGGGATACTCAATGATACTATATCAAGAATATTTTTTTCATTGTGATAAAGCATTATGTATTCATTCTAAATTACTTTGTGACAGAAATAATCGAGGTAGAAAGACATTGTCTGGGAAATAAATGAATCACACTTTTGGTAAACTACTTAAGGATCCGCCAAATGAATTAAAAAATATTTTTAGGAAAAAATTACTAAGAAGCAGGTAAGGCTGAGGTGTGGAGGACGAGAGAGTTAAATTTTAAATGTTTTTATTAATATTTAAGATAAGACAAATACCAAACGGAGAGCCCTTCCAACCCTAACCCATAAAGACTTTATCAAAGCCCTTCATCTGAATGAATCTCCACCGTTTATTCAAACAAACACATAAAACCTTATCTTCTTTGCTTTCTCGGTATGCCGAACCCCATTCCCTCATCTAACGCCTCCACTGCTCCTCTCTTCTTCTCGTTGTTCTCTAACATCACCGATGAGTCTCCACCCCACCTTCTTCTTCTGCCTTTCGCCGCCTTGATTCTCTCTGGTACCCACCACCAATGGGCTAGGGCACAAGGTTTCTTGACAAACCCATTCCCAAATCTAAACAAACAAAAACCCCAAATCCCCATCCCAAACAGGCGTCCTGGCCTTCCCTTGTCGTCGTTTGACTTTCCTTTGTTGGTGATAGATAGGTGCGGGAGAGCAGGGAGACGGAGAGATGGCGAGGGCACAATGGCGCGGTGAAGAGTAATTTCCGACCTCGAGAAAATTCCTCAGCGCTCCCATGTTCCTCGGCGAGACCCGACTGCGATGGCGGAGACCGCATCCATCCCCTGTTTTTCGAGCTACTGACCGCCTCCAACAGGGGAGTCACTCGACACTGCCGACCTAAACAGAGGAAAGAACTCATGGGGACTGCCTTCTGCTTTTTGCATGCAGCAGCGAAGACCTGGGTGGCGAGATCTGGGCGGAGGAAGGCCGTATATGAAGGAGCAGCGCCCGAGGACAGAATTGACGGGTTTTTGCTACTGGTATTTCGTGCTTAATTTCTTGCCAGTGTTGAAATTTGAAAGTTAGGGTTTTGAGTGAATGAATTCCATAGACTTGAAGGAGCTTCTATTTACTTGGAAAATAGTGATATTTTGCTTTTAGTTTTAAAGTTCTTGTTTATGGTATGCTAGTGGAGTTCAACCAGTCAATTGCCCGTTAAGTTGGACAGATATCTCTCGTTACAGTAGTTGAGATTGGACTTTAATTTCACCTTCAATGAAGTGAGTTGAATTGCCTAACTTGCTTACTTTTTCAGTCTGATATGAGATTTGAGTCTCAAGTCTATGTCCTTTAGCGTGGAAGCTTAGTTGTGTGGTGCAGATTTGAGTCTCAAGTCTATGTCCTTTAGCGTGGAAGCTTCAGTTATGGTGTAAATTATTTTACTCTCCCCAAATCAAACTAATCTCAAGTCAAGTTCTTTCTTTGGCTTTGTACTTACTCTCCAATCTCCATGGAGGTTCCCTATATAATATATACTCTCCTCCGATCCCCCAAGCAGCTAATAAGCAAAGCCATTGAAAGAGAGATATTGAAACTCCATCCACCCATCCATGGCGAAACTAGCAGCTGTTTTATTCCTCCTACTAACGCTGCAACTATGTTGCGATGCGTCTAACCATTCATATCCTCCTCCTCCTCCTCCTCCATCACTGATCTCTTCAGAACGTTGTCGTCCTGACGAGGGCACTGCACTGCTGCAGTTCAAGAACTCCTTCGTCTGGGTACTCAAGCGCGACGATGACAATATGGCAACGTGGAAGGAAGGATCCGACTGTTGCCTGTGGGAAGGTGTCACTTGCGACCCTTTCACCAGTCATGTCGTCGGCCTCCACCTTGGTTGTGACCAAGTACTGCCCTACACCCCTTGTCGGCGGTTTCAGGGGACTGATCTGCATCGAAACAGCTCCCTCTTCCACTTGCGGCACCTCCGGAGCCTCGATCTGTCCGGCAATGACTTCAATGGCTCCGCGATTCCCTCAACCTTCACCCAGTTGACCAGCCTGGCTCATCTCAACCTCTCTAGATCGAGGTTTTCCGGTCACATCCCACTCGGGTTCAGCCGTCTCAACAAGCTTGTCTCACTTGATCTTTCCTATAATTGGCCATATGGTTATCCAGAAAGAGCACTCTCCTTTGGCGACAACGACGATTTCTCCAAGCTGATGCTGAACGCCACGGGATTAAGCGAGCTTCGGCTTGACCGTGTGTATATGTCAAACATCAAGCCCTCCTCCTTCTCCAACGTATCACACTCCATGACATATATCTCCCTTTACCACTCTGGATTAGTAGGGGATTTTCCGGAGAGCGTCTTCCGCCTCCCAAACCTCCAAGGGTTTGTTCTCCTAGAAAACCCACAGCTCTCCTCCGTTCAGCTCTCCGTTCAATTTCCATTCTCAAATTGGACTGCTGGCCACCTTAAGGTATTAAAGCTCTCCTCCGTCAATTTCTCCCGACAACCGATGATCCTCGCTTCAATCGGGAATTTGAAGTCCTTGGACACTTTATACCTTTCCGACTGTTCATTGTCGGGGTCTGTCCCAGCTTCTATAGGGAACCTCACGTCCTTGACTGGTTTCGGCCTTCCAGGCAATTCATTATCCGGGAGATTTCCTGATAATATTCTCCCCAACCTAGTTCAGCTGGAATACTTGGATTTGGGTGGCAACAAATTTTCTGGCTGGTTTCCCGACATTTTCGGTAACAATTTCACAGGTCCTATTCCATCTCTCATCTTTAACCTGCCAAAACTTCCAAGTCAACTAGTCAATTATATTGGCTTGAATAGTATACAGTGGATCGACTTGGGAGGTAACTTACTCAATGGAACTATCCCATCTTGGATGCTAGCCCTTCCATCCTTGCATTGGTTGGACCTCAGTTCTAACTTGTTAACAGGAGAGATCCCTGAGTTCCAATCGAGTTCCTTAGGAGCGATTCTTCTACAACAAAATCAATTGTCTGGTCCTGTACCAAACACAATCTTCAACCTTGTGAACGTTTCCGAGATCCATCTCGGTTCGAACAGATTGAGCGGCGTCTTCCATTTGGATCGTATTAAAACTCTAGAAAATCTTCGACGTCTTAGCCTTTCACATAATAATAATATTTCAATACTATTTGGTAGCACCCCACATAATTCTACCCGGATTTCTTCACTTGAATTCTTAGACCTATCTTCTTGTAACATTACCAGAATCCCAAGCTTCTATCTTGACTTCTTTCCCTCTCTCTCGTACCTTGATCTCTCTCACAACTTTTTGACCTCCATGACCATCCTACCACCTCACATGGAGAGTCTTCAATACCTTGACCTAAGCTACAACATGATTGAAGGCCCACTTTCTATCCCGTGGAGTCCTCAACTTCAATATTTGTTAGTGGACAATAACAAGTTGACAGGGAGGATGCCACATCACATATGTAATATCACCACCCTTGACGTCATCAACTTGTCTAACAACAGCTTGAGTGGCAGCATACCTGAATGCTTGGTCAACCTTACCGATTTGACAGTCTTGCAATTGAGGACGAACAACTTCCACGGTTCAGTTCCATCCATATTTGGCAATATGAGCTCCTTGGAAAATCTGGACTTGAATGGAAACACATTGGGAGGTCCATTGCCGCAAAGCTTAGCAGCGTGCAAGGAGCTTCAAGTATTGGATGTCGGGAACAATGAACTTAATGGTGTTTTCCCATTTTGGTTGTCATCTCTTCCCGAACTGAAAGTTCTCATCTTGCACAATAATAGTTTCCATGGCACTATCACGACTGAGAGTATGGACAGCTTTCCCATGTTGCGGATATTGGACATCTCCAACAACTACTTCAACGGTCTTCTGCCCGCAAGCTTGTTTCACAAGTTCCGGGCCATGATGATGCTGCAAGAGTCCGAGAAAGTTGGAGTAAATTACATTGGACGGTCAAGTACTGATGAGTACTACTATGTTGATCTGATAGTGAAAGGCCAAGAGATGATGATAACAAAAATCCTCACCATCTTCACCACCGTGGATTTGTCGAACAACTATTTCCACGGCAGTATTCCAGAGGCAATTGGAGAGCTCAAATCACTCAAGCACCTCAATCTCTCACACAACAGCCTCAGTGGCCCAATTCCGTCTTCCCTCGTGAACTTGACCGAACTCGAAGCCTTGGATCTCTCCTCCAACCAACTTACAGGGGAGATCCCACCGCAATTCACAAGTCTGACTTCATCTCTTGCAAAATTCAACTTGTCGCAAAATTCACTCCAGGGGCCGATACCTCAAGGCAGTCAAATCCAGACATTTGATAATACTTCTTACATTGGAAACGAAGGATTGTGCGGGCTTCCGTTGTCCAAGAAGTGCGGAGGCGATGGTCATAATGATCATGATGAGGATTCTGAACCAGAATCCGAGTCCAATGGCGGAACACTGTTTGATTGGAAATTCGCAGGTGCTGGGTATGGATGCGGGCTAGTGATCGGAGTATCGACCGCCTACGTTATGTTCATAATCAGGAAGCCACGGTGGCTGGTGGAGATGATAGATAATTGGATTCGGCGGCAACACCAGGCTAGACGGTGGAGGCCGGCGATAAGATTTTAAGACTGCTGAATACTGATCAAAGAAGTGCAAGTCGGCGTTGCTTTCTATGTTCTCTGTTTCGTCATGTGTATGTGTAATATCGGTAGCTTACCTGTACCTTGATAGTGTTGCTCCTTCAATTCCATGTTCTCAGTTTTGTCATGTGTATGTGTAATATCGGTAGCTTATAATAGTGCAGCTTCTCAGGGTATGAACTGAACTGATAAAGTACGTTGCTTTGCTACGGATTCAATCATTCAGTCCTCGTCACGACTTGGTAGAATTATCAGTGGAGTGGAGAAGTGATTAGTGTGGCTGAAATGGACTCAATTTTGTTCGTCAAATCATGTATTACTGCTGGTTAGGGGAGGTTTTGAGTCGAGTTTCTTTCTTCCTCAAGGTTTTGTTAGAAAAGTACCGTTTTGCGAACTTTTGGCTGCAGAAGTATATTAACTAGTAAAGAGTTGGATGTGAGAACAAAGATCTGAATGTACCAACGAATCAACCCGAGTTTCAACAGGACTAGTGCATAACAAGTAGTTTTGGAAGCAAATTAAACCAATAACATCAACTACAAGTACAAAGGAACATCTCTAGCCTTAGTTGTAGACCATGTACTTGGGAGTGGCACTAAACTTTTGGTATCCCCTAATGACCTTGCCGACTGCACTCAGAAAGTCCTTCTCCGTTACTGTCTTCCTGCGTGCTCTAATGGCACACATCCCAGCTTCAGTACAAACACTCCTAATGTCGGCTCCTGTAAAACATATCACGTCGAGACTGTGAGCGTTCACATTACATGTTGAACTCTCAGCTCAAACACCGCATATAGAAACAAGTCGTAGTAAAACCCACACACGAACATACCAGTTGAATTCAGACAGAGGCGGGCGAGTAGTTCAAAGCGGATGCCTCTTTCGCAGTTCATTGTCCGTGTATGGATCTTGAAAATCTCAGTCCTGCTCTCCACATTTGGCAGTCCAAACTCAACCTTACGATCCAGTCTTCCAGGGCGCAGGAGTGCTGGGTCCAAGGTATCGGGTCTGCAGATTACCAAAACATGATCAACATATGGTCCAGGATAAACATCAACTCAAACACAGGAGCACCAGAAAATGCATGAGTAATCCATTCGCATATAGCAAGCATAACAATCTCAATCACATAAAGAGCTAAATTTGTGAGGTTAGACTAGTTGAACTCATCATAGCAGTAAGATAAAAATGAATGAACGTAGCTTCTGTTAAGGTGTAAACATGAAGTTAAATGTAAAATTTTTATGGGAACATTCTGATTCCCGAACATACCTGTTTGTTGCCATTAACACCTTGATATTTCCTCGAGCGTCAAACCCATCAAGCTGGTTGACAATTTCGAGCATTGTTCGCTGAACTTCATTGTCTCCACCCGCACCATCATCGAAACGTGCACCACCGATTGCATCAACCTCATCAAAGAAGATGATGCAAGCCTTCTTTGACCGAGCCATCTACAGCAAACAAACATATAGCTCGTTCAGCAAGAAAGAAAGAAAGAAACACCACACGACTAGAAATTATGAAAAAATTCGAAATGCATGCATCATGAGAGAGAAGACTTGGCTCTAACCTGAAAAAGCTCCCGAACCAGGCGAGCCCCTTCACCAACATACTTCTGAACGAGTTCGCTACTGTTGACGCGAATGAAACATGCATCTGTTCTGTTGGCGACCGCTCTAGCCAGCAAGGTTTTCCCAGTTCCAGGTGGACCATAGCATAGAACGCCCTTGGGAGGATCAATTCCAAGCTTCACAAACTTCTCCGGATGAAGCATGGGAAGTTCAACAACCTGCAGAAATCAAAAGAACATCACCATAAGCATATATATAGAACTGAATCCAGTAGATATGCATCTAAAATTTAATTTTGTGAGGGGTGTACAAAATAACATAGACAGACATCAAAGTTGATTAAAACTCACTTCTCTCATTTTTTCAATCTGCTCCTTGCAGCCACCGACATCTTTGTAAGTAACATCAGGCTTTTCCTCGACAGTCATCATGGTAACAGAGGGATCCACCCTGGGAGGCAGAGGAATCTTAATCTGGTGTTTGGTATGATCAACGCTGCAGTAGTACACAGAGCCAAATAAGTAGAGACTTTATGTGGGATCATATAGACTGTTCACAAAATTAAGTACCACAAAGTTCAGGAATCTACGTACCCAACTCTCATTCCTTCTTCTATATCAGTGGGGGAGACATTTTCGCCAAGCCCAACAACGAACTGAAAGTTATCCAAAAGCCAGAAAGATAAGTATTTGTTGTGAGAAACATGAATGATGAATTTAGTTATACAGCAATTAGCTTTGAACAGATGAGGTAAGGCATCGAAGGTGACCTGACTAACAACATACCTTAGCAGTTTGCCTGATGTTAATCATGTACTGGGCGTCCTGGGTATTAGGATTAATGACCTTAGTACATCTGGCAACCTGTTACAGAGCAAGCAGCAGCTTAAGTTGGATGTCATATCATTCTACAGGGGAAGATCACTCATCATGAGATGTAGCTAAATACAGGAACGCAAGCAATCAGCAGTCGATCGTCATTATATTATATAGCTTACTTGAAGTGGTGGCTCCTCCTGCATCATCTGTTTATCAGAAACCAAATCCCAGTAGCTTGGTGTAGCCAAACCAGTATCAGATTCCTTGGTACCTGTGAGAATCAGCACACCAATTAAGCTATAGCTAGCTACGAATGAGTGACACCACGAGAAAGAAAAAAGAACAAACAAGGCGGGAATGGACTTGTCGTCCATCGGAGTAGGGAGCTTACCACGGAGGGAGTTGATCTTCTTAGCTAACTCCTTGATTTCTTCTTCCTGCTTCTTCATGGTTTTGCAATAAGGCCCTAAACCCTGCAATTGGAAACCAAAAACCCCAAAAATCAGAGAACCGAACAGCTAAACTAGGCAGCAGCGGCGGCTAGATTAAACCATCTGAAAGCAGCTAGGCGGCATAAATAACAACACTCACGTAAGTACGAAGGAGGGCGATGTCGTCGTCGTCCAGAGGATTCACTATATCAAGCGCCGGCGCCATTTTGAGCACAGGAGAGCGAGGACCGTCGGAGATTTCGAGTGCACTCGCTAGTAGTCGCTACCCAGTTGAGGAATGATTCCGGAGATCGAAGAAGGTAAACAAACACACTATCGCTGGAGCTTGATTGAGCCATTTATATAAGAGTGGGACAGACTGGTTTGCAATCAGCTGACTGACCTTCCCCGCAAGAAAAGAAAAACCGGAAGGGAAATGGAATGTTTCTTCTTTATTTTACCATCCCCGAACGGGATTCGGAAACCTGATACGTGGGAATTTACCCTTTTACCCTAGTTTTAGTATAAAAGTGAAATTTTCAAATTAAATTAAGTTTATGCATTGTTGTATTAACCTGTATTAATAAAAAATAATGTTTTTTTTTTTGACAGATTAATATTGGTAAGTTTACAGGACGAAAAATCTATATATTGAAGGGCACATAACAAGAACACGCCACATTTGGAATTATGGAGTTGATCAGAGTGGCGAAATAACAGAAACAAAGGATGAAAGAAATAAGCGACTTCAATAAATAAGAATCCAAACAAAGTTAACTGTCAAAACCATATGAAGTAGTGTATATGATATGGCCTCAATTGCAGAAACGAAAATCCAGATGCGAATAAATAAAACAATCAATCGATCATCCCCTTCAGCTCAAAGGGTGATCTCTCTCGTTTACAATCACTACCAACTCTCATTATGGGCCGCCGTCGGAATGCTTCCAGCAGCTATTGACGAAGTCCATCAAATCATCGCAAACACCGTCATTGTTGTTGTTGTTGTACATGTTGTAGTTGTTCTGCTGCAAACGCAGAGGATCTCCGTATTGATTGTGGTGTTGCTGTTGTTGGAAGCTGTTCAGCGGGGCGTCCAGATCCACCAACTCCATGAAATCTGCGTTGTTGTGTTCAACAACATAGCCATTGATCAGGCCCTGAGGTGCGCTGTATGTGGCCAAGTTTCCAATATCTCCCAGATTTCTGTAGATTTCATTGCCATCCAGAGCTGGACAGGATGGCAGAGCAACGGCTTGATCGGGATTACTAATCACACCGACTTGATTGGGATTATTAATCATCTGCGAAACATGTTATTAGATTCTTGTCAGTCCATTGGTATGTCTAAACAAGACCAGTCAAATCATAAATGAATCATCAATCAAACTGAGGACTTAACATGACAAGAGATACTTGTGGAAAAATTGACAAGACAATAGTTTCGAGGTGGCTAACCAGTTTTGGTTTACTGATAATAAACCAGATACCTAACCTCAAATGGAATAAATGGTTCAGGTCAACTATAAGTTAACCAGTTAGCTACTCCTAGTATAAACCAGTGCTAGTTCATGATGTACAATCAGTTGAACTAAAACACGCACAGGTGGGGAATGCAAACTTAAACAGTCAAAAAAAGCTACTACCATGCTAGCAGAACTAAGCAATTAAATACTGGTTAGACAAAGTACTATAGAAACAAACCTCAGTATTTTGGAAATCATCCAGTGTGTACGGAGCTTCTTCAGAGAAGTTAGCCAACATAGCCAGCACATCATCATCGTCATACTCCCCATTTCCAGCTTCAGGCACCCCTATGGAACTGATCAGTGCAGATTCCAGAGGTTCTTCAGGAACAACAAGCTGAGCTTCGTGAACAGGAGCAAGTGCTTGAGACACACCTTCAGTAGTAGCATTGACAGTACCAGGAGTAACAGGTGCCTCATATGCATTTGCTTTCTCAGTCGATAGACATGATAGTGGCGACACGACACAACTACCTTCAGGCACTGAACTCACAGGATCAACTGACAGTCCCTTAGATGGGGGAGTAGTAGACCCACCAGCCCATAAAGCAGCTCCTATATCATTCACTTCCTCTTCGTCATTATCCTCCAACTCCCAATCTTCCTCCTTGAATGGTGCCCCATATTGAGCACCATTTTTAGGTCCTGGCCCATCCTTCTTAAAGATCACAGAAAGGACATAAGAGTCCTGAGCAATGCCACTTTCAGTCAACTTCTTGTCCTCCAGTCTATACTCATACATAACCCAATCAGTCCGCTCCCCCTTTGGTGCTTTACCCCGGTGGAAAACCAGAGTCTTGATCATTCCAGACACCTCATTGTCATAAGAAACTGTTCTATCTTTCCCTGTGGTCTTCCAGTACCCAAATTCAGTAGCACGATTCATCCTTGTGCCACTTGCATACTTCTTCTCTCTAGGGCAAAAGAAGTACCACTTCAGATCTCCAGTTCTCAACACCGACTTCTGTGGGAGATCCCAAGGAGGGAACTTGTAGAGGTCGAGCTCCTCAATGCAATGAAAAGGGAGCTTCTTTCCCATCACTTTCCTCTTCAGATAAAACCTAACCAGCTCGACATCAGTCGGGTGAAAACGAAAACCTGGGGGTAGCCTTGTGTTTCCCACCATGACAGGCACAAAAGGGTTGCGGACAATGTACCAAGATCCTCTACAGCTGTTTGTTTTCCTTATCTACTACTACTACTACTAGTTTTTTTCTGTTCTTCTCTAAATAGCTAAATCTTCTGCACATATAACTACCCTCTATCTCCCACCTTCCCTCTAACTACAAACTACTGAGAGATCCAGATGTCAAGTCCAATGCCTGAAGAAGAACTTCCAAGACCGCCACAGCCTCCCACGATTCATGAACCAATTTTTCCCCAGAAAAGTGCGTGACTCAGAATACATGGACACCTAACAATTCGAGTGAAAAGGAATGAGATGGAGACAAACAGACACGCTGAAGATACATTTCATTCGCAAATACCATAAAAACAAAATAAATGGAGAACAAAAAAACAAACAAAAACGATCAACGACCCAATAGAAATCTTCGGAGCTCCGATTATTCAATCACCACCGGCGTCAAGTCAACGCCCAGCAAAATCAACCACTCGTTTTCATCGCAACATCAATATACACAGAAAGTTCAGCAGAGTGTTCCTTCGAAACCCTAGATCGAAATCAGGCGCGCGGAAACAACACACCAAGACACAGCTCGATAGCTCAGAAGCAAAAACCCAGAGAACGGGGGAAAGAGTTGAGGATTTTCGCCTATCCGTACCGTGGGAAATAAGGGAAGGGAGGAGACTGCCGGAGGGCGGAGAGAGCAGAACTGCAGAAGCGCGAAGGAAGAGCGGCGGAACGGGTGAGTAGCGTCTAGGAGAAGCGAGACTGAGCGAGTCGTGAGAGCCTTGCTATTTATAGGACAAAATGTGGAGGCTGAGGGTTTAAATTAAATTTATTGGTTTAGTGCTAAGTAGTACTTAAAATAAACCTTCATTAACATTTACATCTTTTTTTACATTTTTATGATCGATTTAGAGAAAGGAATTGGTGGCCTTGACCATAGGGATTGGTTAAAGAGGTTGGATTGGCTACGTATGAATGTAACCATGACGAGGCATGATCTCAATTATCTAAAGCGGTTTATGATGTTGTTTACAAAATGATACTTCCTTCTTTAAACAATTCAGATTTCTATAATCAATTTATCCGGAATAAAACTCATTTTCACGTTGTGTCAAAATTCTTAATCAAAAGTACTCGGATATAGATTATTATTTATTTTTATAATCACTCATTTGATAATCTAATATAACCATTATAGAGTGATCATCGAACTCTCATTACAAGTAGGGTTGTTATTCGGTTGGCAGTTAATCGATTAACATAAAAATCGAAACAATAAAATTGATTAATTGGCTAACCGCAACCGATAATACCTCTGTCGATGGGTTCTAGTGATATCGACTAACCTACCGATTGTTGGTTGCTAACCGATAAATAATCAGTGCACCGTTACTAACCGTGAGTAGCACCACAATCCACCACAATGAGACCTCCTTCTGCTCTGCCCTCGCAAAATCGCAAATTTACAAGCCTATAGCTCATTGATTTTGACCAAAACCATAAAAACAGAGAACTCTTTCTACTGTTGGGTATAAATCAAAACCCAGTTCCACAACAGCAAAGCAAAACCAGAAACCGAAAAAGAAAGCTGCGTCTAAGTGTCAATTCCTCTTCCATTCTTTGGCACAAACACTTCACCACCACAAAGAACCAACTAATCATTATACAAAAACCAACCCCCAAGCCCCTCTCCCTCCAATTCCAAACCATTTTCGCCAAATAGACATCATCAAGCTGATGGATGGTTACATTTGTCTTCTAACACGAAAAAGAATAAAAATCATAGGCTCCCTTCTCATTTACAATCACACAAACAAAAATCACAAACTCAAAACCTCACTTCACCCAACAATATGGGTCTGTCTTGGTCACTGAGAATGATGCCAATGCAGTGTAATCTTTTTCGAATCTCGAAGTTAATGTAGACATCAACAACCTCTATCGAGAGCACGAATATTCTCCAATCTTGGTTTAGCAAAACCGTTTGTATCTCGCCTGCCATCTCCAAAGGACACACTGCTCTATACAGTATTGGTATACCTCTTTCTCGCCTTCCCAGAATCAGCTTGCATCCCCCGATATGAGAGGAACGGGGATAAAAATGGGAAGGAAACCTCTGCGTAACTAAAAACCCTTACACCTAATGCCATGTGCAGCCAAGCGCCCAAATCTACTGTTACAAGATCCCTCACAACAGAAAGAAACCTAGTCGTAAAACCTCCTTCTGATGTCTCGTGCTAAGCTCGTATGGTATCGTGCAAGTAAGGATGCATGTTTCCTGTGATCTCGTACGACAGCAATTTTACAGTGACCAGATGATTCATGCGACTGGTTTCATTTAGGCAGAGAGAAACGATGTGATTATATGAAGCTTACTCTGGACCTCTCACAATATACCATTCAATACCCTCTGATAATAATCGTACTGCCTAGTCCGCCACGCATCTAAACTACTGCTGATAAGAGAAAGTACCAAGGAGACGCATTGCTGGCAGAAAGCAAAAGTTCATTTGTGAACAAATCGATACTAACCAAGCATGTTTAGAACTGGAAATTTGAGCATACTAGGGGTTGAAGTGCGCTTACCTCTTCAGTCAAACTTAGATGAAACCGTTTCCTTAAGTTTTGAATAGTCCTTGGACCCCCCTTGAAGCAAGGAAATCCCGAATCCTGATCAAGTACATCACGTAACCTGTTACTATGACAGTCCGGAAAAGCAGAGAAAAAGCAAGCTGGAACACTTATAATCATGAGGCAATAAGAACAATCAACAGGAGGCCTGTTATTGTAAACATCATTTCCAAGAACAGACATCCAACACAACAAACATCATCAGTATAATGCATCATAGATCATAACCAAACACATTGATACCGTCGAGTATATTAATGCACCAGAACTTTTGTGGAGACAGTTTCGAGATCACAACACCCAGAGTATAAAAGAACAGGAAAAGAAGATGCATGTCTAGTTCTATGGGATCATTCATTTGTTAGAGCTGGACTAGGCGAACAATCCTTCACAGAAAGCATCTGATTTCTCCTTTTTCTTATTTCATATGAAAGAAGGCATTTTATGATACATTTTACCAAAAGGGGGGAAAGAGAAAGGAAACAGTTAGCGCACCTGCAACATCTCAACAAGAAGAATTATCCGCTCTGCATGCTTACGACAAGTTAAGAATCCTTGAATGCATAAAACCTGCATTTGATATGAGAAAATATGAAGTTAATTCTTTCAAAAAAGAAATAGCTACCCATTCTCAACAATACTTGTGACTTCTAAATCCAACAAAACCCCAACCATTTCTAGTTAAGAGTAAAGGTAAATCACAGCGATATCATGAACTGGCCTAATGTTGACATTAACAATATGGATAATGCCTATACCTTGAAATAGTCAAAGAATTCGCTTGGAACTCCCTCTGCATCAGAGTCCATGACCTAGAACCGAAAAGAGGCTTGATAAATACGTTCCCAAACATATATAAACAGGCATCATTGAATGAGAAGATAACGAACTCATAGGAAATCCACCCTTTGTACAAAAACATTATTACCTCAAGAAGTTCCCGGGTTAACTTGAAGGGTGCACTCTCAAAATTCACTCCACCAGGCGAATTGGAGAGCATAAACCCAAAGTCTATATGAATAATATGACCTTCTTCATCCAATAAAAGGTTTCCATTGTGTCTATCTTTCACCTAAGATGAAAAGGAATGAGAATAAAAGGTTAAGCGACATTATGAAAAGAGCCCATAACATCTCCGAGTCTTTGTTGAAGCCTCAAATGGTGCGTTTAAGCCACAATACAATCCGGACAAGAGAGCTTTATTATAACTTTTATACTCGCTGACATCTCTTACAAGGTTTAATAAGTATAGTGCTCTAGAAGTGTAGGATCCATTTTGTCCATGGGCAGGACCACGTACAAAGTGAAGGCAAGCACAATGCATAAGAGTGATATAAGCAAAGCCCACATCAGACGGCTTGGCCAGTTACCACTAAATTTTTAGTTAATAAAGATAAGACAGTATCAAACCTGGAGAAGATAGCACACCAGAGAATAACCAGCCATGCTCTCAACGAAGTTCCTCTGTATAAAAAGAATTAACATGCACATAAATGAATTAAAGGCCATGTCCGGCCAAGCCAGCTGACAATAAGATTAAGCATTACTACAAGTTACAAAGACAGTGACCAAGACAAGAGAGACAGAATGAAAATGCCACCTTCTCGCCAAACAGTATTGAAGTAAACTTATACAAACTAACCAAGGATTTCCCTTCAGATATCAACAGGAAAGAGACAGATTTATTCTTCATGCTATCAACAGGAAAGAAAGAAAAGGTACCCACAGTTTAAAGACTGTATAGGCAAAGGAATAACTCCCAACTTACAGTGGAACAGAAACAAACAAAAACAACAAAAAAAAAAACAAGAGGCAGAAACAAAAGAAGTTTCTAGGGGAATCCTAAACCACCTAAGTCAGATGTGTAAACAGGTACTTGTTCAAAATCAAATGGAAGATTCAACAGTTGCAATGACTAATACCTGTGCCAGCTTGAAACTTGAGGAGTTCTCTTTATATTTGGCATCAAAGAAGTCACGCAAACTTGTTACATCAGGATATCTACTCTTGATGGAATGAATTGAAGCCTACAACAAACAGCAACACTGGTGGTGAGGTACCATGAAATTTCATTAATAGCTCTGCCAAAGAGAGTACAATAATGCAGTGTACCGTATCTGGAACTGTTTCGATAAGAGCAGTGTAAGAAGATGTCACCAAAACTTCATAAGGACGCAGCCAGAGAGGAAGCCCAGCTTCTTGAAATATATCTGATATAGAAATAATAGTAACTATTATTATAGCATCTTTGTTTGAAACCCAGCTTCTTGGAACACATCTGATATAAGAAGAAAATTACTATCATTATCACTGCTACTACTGAAACTCTGTATTTTGAAAAACTAATCAGCAAACAGATGAAAGTCTGATTTCTTCGAAATATCAACACTAATTGATTAATCCTTGTTTCTTATTATCAGTTCATTAAATTACTAGTTATCTTACTTGTTTCCAAATGTTAAATCACGAGATAACATGAACGAATGCACTGCGATTAGGATTTGGAATAGATATCAGTTATAGCTACAGCTAATTATCAGTCATACATCGACCGGAATCCCAGAGGCTTCATCGCTTGTACAAGACTATAAACTAACAGCTATGATTTAGAAGCCCAAGTAGTCCTTCCAAAGCTAGGAGAAAATACCCACCGTAGAAATGAGAAATAAGTTGCACAGCAAGATGCTCCTGCCTGCAGTCATCCCCACTCTTCACAATCATCTGTAAAAGAAACAAGAAAGGTCATCATTTAAAGCCATGAAGACGGAGTTCTAGCAGATAACAAATAAAGCCCCATCAGAACATAGGTCAAATGGACAACTTGGCCCAACGGCATCTATGCTACTATCCGAGAACGTGTAAATATACACATCCACTAACCATGTGCTAATCAGTCAATGGAAAGATGAGTGTTCTCACCCCTTCTAAATGTTACAGCACATGCCTTTCCTAGAAGTTCAACCTATTGAACCCCAATAACATGTAAAATGACAAAAAAGTTGGCATCATATCATGAAACACAGTAACAGACAAGTCACTGACAAACTACAGATACACAATCCCAAAAACCAGCAACCACGTAGTAACCCGTGGTGGTGAATTCCCCTCATCTCTAAACAGCCACCAGATGGAGACAGTTTCAATTTTCAGTGAGAGTGCGGAGTGTTAAAGGAGTGCTAAAGATTAAAGCAGCAGAAAAGGCCAGGCATCTGGTATTGAACAGAACTTGTGGCCGTACTGATAGAAAAGGCATGCCTAACGTAGCTAATGGGCAAATGGGGAGTCAATATTAGCAAGCAGGTAAGCACAAACACCTACAAAGGGCTCCTGAATGAGTGTAGTCGTAACATGCACTTAGAAAATGGAACTTTCATAAAACAACACTAACTTGATTCTTGATTCAAAATCATATTGCTAGATGCCACTAGAAAATACTGACAAATACAATCATATCACTCTAGAAACGCCCATGGTTTGGTAGGCTGCAGAGAAGCAATTCGGAGCTCATTAACCTTTGCTAGCCAAAACACAAACAGAGAACTTACAGAGCGCAAGTCCCAACCGGGTAACTTCCCATGCACTGAAGCTTTGCGTATTCTCTCTTTCTTTACATCCCAAAGTTCACCAGATAAGGGATCAGTGGCTCTAGGAGTGCCACCATTTGCCTGTCACCACAACAGAAAAACTTCTAAACCAACATTCTGCTGCAAATAAGGTATGTAGTATTTTGTTCTGAGAGTATTTACCCTAGGTTGTGCATCTGATGATTCTTGGCCAGCTCCTTTAAGAGGAAGTCCAAGAGGTGCTTCACCCTTGGCTGCTGCAGCCTGTAAAAGAAACAAGTTCACGACCACCAACAGACACTAAAATAAGCCAGAACATTGACACCATAGAGTTATTACCTTCACTTCTTCTATCGCAATAGTACTTGGAACACGACGATGCTCCCTTCTACGTGGCCCTTCATCCCCAATATCATCCATTCTGGCTCTAGAATCTGTTGTCAAAACTACCCTTATCCAATCGAAATCACAGCCATCTGCAGCCTTTTTGCGTGAACTACTGCGGTGGATGCCGGAGTGTGAATTAGGTGCTTCACCTTTCAATCTTGAATCAACCGTCCGCCTCTCCACAGAAAGACTCACGGTGACAACCTTCAACTTTGCCTCTGAAGAATGGGACATTGCCTGGTCAATGGCTTCAGCCGTTGATCTTGACATTCTATCACTACTATTCCGGTATGCTTCCTGAGCAGTCCACAAAGGATATGCCCATGGTGGTGGCTTTGGCAACAATGCATCTCCATTAGCTAGAGGAATTCCTCCTCTAGAAAGCTTTTGGGCTCCAGAGGCATCTTTAGAATTGCTACAGAAGATAGAGCAAATAGACCACATGAGGAGGTAGAACAGAGAAAACTTAGCATGGGAGCGCAAACTTGAAAAAATTGAATTCTGCTGAGTTATTGTACTAAGTATAGGCAGAAACTTGGACATGTGATATTATTGGCATGTTCTCTAATACACCAGAGATGCAAGTCAATCAGTACCTCGGCGTTTCACTTTTCAAAACTTCCACGCAGATCATGTAAGGTGCCTTTTCTCTGGAGTTCAGTAGAATAGCCTCATCTTCAGGTATATGAACCACACGGTACATGCCCTTTCCCAAAGGAAAGCAAACCCCTGGGAATAGCAAATCATGAATATACCTCCCTAGTTGTCATTTCCAAACACTAGAGGAGACAAATCAAAAGGAGCAGCATTCAAATATATTGAGAAAACAAGAGGTTGTCACTAGTCTCACATCATGAAGAAGAGCTTGTAATTGGAATGGGGGTAAAAATACTTCACCACTCATAATATGATCATGACCTCAAATTAGTGAGTTGATGTCCGAATGAGGAGACCTTTTCTTAAATGAGCATGGGGAGATTAAGGAGCACTTTTACAATTCTATCTTCCTTCCATTAAAATCTTCGTAAACAGATCAAAGGGTAAAAAGACAAAATATGGCCAGTCTACAACAACCAATAAAACAATGCAATGGGGAAGGATTGGGGCATCGAAACAATTTCTCTGTCATTACTAGATTATCTAAAAACAACATAGTCCTCGTCAAACAAAAAGAACAAGACAAAATTTCCAACTACAGATGATACCCACAAACATAAACTAACAGGGACATGCAAACATAATCCACAACCAAAATGTCGTAAGCATTCACGTAATAACCACTAGTTGACTAATTAAATATTTACTAGCTTTAGCCTTTTGAATAATAAAATGTTGTCCCGTCAAGGAAACTAAGGTCATGGCACTAACCTCCAGCTTGTTGAGCCTCAACTAAATGCAAATTGATCTCCGCAAGTGACTGGAAATAGAAGCAACAAATAGAAAATGCTATTAGAAACAGGTCAAGTGTACATGTTCTACCAGCTAGATGCCGACACAGCACTAGTAAGTGATGCCAGGAAACTATGTATGATTATTATTATTATTATTATTATTAGAATCCAAAAAAGTACACAGCAACAGAAATGGTAAACCTCTCGAAGGGCACTTTTGCGATCTTCAACAGGGAATACATCCACTAGGCCATAGGAAGTGTCGCATAATGACAGTACAAAGTCCAATGATTCATGATATGCTCCTTTCCGCAATTGTGATGCCGTGTGATTTGGAAGTGGGGGTTTTGCATTTGACTTTTCATTCTGTTGCTTAGGTGAACCGGGGAACTTCTGCAAGAATGACAACAGCACATAAGAGCCAGATTAGAAAGTTGCGAGTAACTAGAACAGCCCAAACAGCGTTGAAGGATCACTCAACCTACATAACCTAATCTAACATAAGTAAATTATGTCCCAAGTAGCATTTTTCAGCTTCAAACAAGATCCACATTCTCATCAATCAGATAAGGAGAGCAGACTCAGCAACTAATATTTGCTTCGAACAAGTTTCACATTCTCATCAATCAGATAACCTTTCGTCAATGCAGATGACTTGACTAATGAGCAGACAAAAATATTGAGCATTTGCATCTTAGTAATGGGGCTGACAGTTCATGAATATATTGCAGGTTTAGGCCTGTAGGTTCTAAACTCCACAGAAAATTACCAAATGCAGCAGAAATATAATAGCAATACAAAACCACAATATCTCTCACTTAACCTCTAATTCTTACCAGTGAAACCTGGTTTAAAAACCTTCCCCATCTCTGTGATTCAGACTTCTATAGCCTATGGTTCTTTGCACACAGAAGTTCCTATTTCAGCCACGAATCAGATTGGCAAATAAAAATGTTACTTCATGCATCCCTACGGGACTATCAAAATTCCAAATAATAAGTTACTACATGCATCCCTTCGGGACTATCAAAATTCCAACAGTTACTATTATGAACTACACTGGCCCGCATAATCTCAACCGACACACATAAATAGAGAAGCTGTGTAGAAAAATCAAATCAGACGATTGCAGAAGGTTATGATTAAAGAGGAGATCGCTGCAAAGAACAACAACTGCACTAGACCATCGACATGATAATTATCTAGTTAAGTTCAACGCACCTCTTTGTTTTTCTTTCCACTCAACAATTCAGAATCTTCAACTGAACGGTCCCGGTCTCTGAACAGTTTGCGGAAAAATTTCTCAGTCCCTGGGCTGCTTTCAGACAAGCTCACATGTCCATTGCTACTACTTTCATTAGCCGATTCACTTTTGGAATCTTCAGGGTGCACTCGAAATAACTTCCGGAACAAAGAAATATCTGAAGGTTCTTCTTCCTCGCCATTGACATGATTCCCTTCATTGCCCTTATCAGGACCATGTTTCTTGTCATCGGACTTGTCCTTGAACAATTTACGGAAGAATCCATCTTTTTCATCATCCTCCGCTGATTTACCAAATTTCTCAATAGCATTCATCCTCTCGTCCTCATTCCTTTCATTCCCGTCCTTCTTGTCATCGAATTTCTCCTTAAACAACTTCCTAAAAAAACCATCTTTGTCATCGTCTTCCATTGATTTAGATAGTAACCGGTCGTCTACTTCACCCTTACTATCACGAAACAATTTCTTAAAGAAACCCTCCGAACTTGCTGTCAACTCCTCCTCTTCGCCTCTGTTATGATCCTTCAGAAGCTTCTTGAAGAACCCATCTGATGGTGAAGTCAACTCCTCCTCTTCACCTTTGCTTGAATCCCTCAAAAGCCTCTTGAAAAAACCATCTGAGCTAGACGTCACCTCATCATCTTCAGATCGATTTGAATCTTTCAAGAGCCTCTTGAAAAACCCATCAGAGCTTGATGTCAACTCTTCCTCCTCTCTTTTACTGCTGTCCCTCAAAAGCCTCTTAAGAAACCCATCCTTCTCACTATCTTCATCATCTTTATCCATAGATTTTCTAAACAGTAGAGCATCCCTGACCTTTGGACCAGGGATGAATTTCTTGAAAAGTTTATTATCGGGTGAGCCTTGGCCACCATCATCTGGCAAATGATTACCTGATGAAGGTGAAAAAGACACGGATCTTTGAGCAGGTGGTGAGGAAGTCAAAGATAAGAACTTCTGCTTCGATGATAAAAGCTTATTTAGCATCTGGTTTTTACTACCAGAGCTTGAATTCTCATTGCGCTGCTTCAGCAAGGGAGGCCATTCTCCCATCAAAGTAGCAGCGATCTGACACTTCTCTTGAATCCGACTAATCCCATCATTATCATCCGAATCCTCGAGCTCAGCCAGCAAAAACCAGTGCACCTTAAGAGCAATCATCAGCGACTTGGAGCATATATCAATCACAAACTTATCCAGCGATGGGCTTGGCTTGTGTATCATCATATAACAAATCTGGAACAGGTAGCTCTCTATGCCGGACAACGGCAGCGTGTACATTCGGTTACACAAGTAATCGCGAACCCCCGAGTGCTCATGTTTGTACAGGTAGCTCACAGCAATCCACTCGCAGAAAAACGCAGAGTCAAAGAACCTGATCAGCCACCCGTTCTCACTGGACTCGCTCGTCAAGTTGCTCCGCGACGTGATCTCCCTTGGCGGCTCAGCCGATTCTCCGAGACTAAGTCCCAGAAGCCTCACCATTGTCAGCCTATCATCATCAGCCCGAACTACCTCTTAGAAATCAGATCGGATCAGCTCTGATCGCCTTCCCATCCCGAAAAAGGAAAGATTCAACTGATAACCACCACGCACACAAACTTAGCTAGCAAAAAACCACCGTTAAACCTTCATCAAACCCCTAATTATCCACAGCACGCCAAGTTCCCCGGCTCTACCAGTTGTTCAATCGAAATGCTAACTAAATCCTACTCCGGGAAACGAGAAACCCTAACTATCCCCCCAAACAAAGCCCCACGACCACCTCAATAATTCCCCCGCTAACTCGTCAGGGGAGGATCGCCGAAACTGAGCAGACGAAGAAGGAGAAGTACGTGAAGTGTGATCAGTAGAATGGCCGGGGGAGGAAGAAATGGGGAGAGGGAGGGAGAGAGAGAGAGAGAGAGTTTGAGGTGAGCCAACTGGGAATTGGGCGGATTCCAACTTACGGGAGTGGAGAAGGGGAGGTATCGGAATTGCTGAGGTTCCGCCGACACTGGATCTCGCAAAATCTGCTCCTGGAGACGGCGAGGCCGGAGATATACGGCGGCGACGCGGTTCAGGAGCGGCGGCGGTTGGGTGGGGGATTGGTTTGGCGGTCTGTTGTTGTACGAATAAAGCGAGCGCAACAAAGACAAAAATGGGACGGAGGCACGAACTCTGGAAGTAAAGTAATTAATTTTTTTAAAATGCTCGAATTAAAAGAAAAAAAAACAAATAGGGAATATATAAATGTTCGCGTGACGAGGGGTTATGCTATCGTGCGCCAATTGGAAAACGCGCAATTATTCCCGCCCCGGTGCGTGTTTTTACTTGAACGTGGCCCGACGACTTTTTGTTCTTGTATTCAGCAGATCGACCGACGGAAGAGAATCCTATTGTTTGACCCGGATTAGTACCGGGGATTAGAGTGGAACCTTGATCCGGACTCCCTCGTCTGATCTCCTCGGGAGTGGAAGAAACCTGTGGAGAGTCGGGGGCGGCCCCCGTGATCTACACTCCGACGCCCAAGTTAGTAAGGATAGATGATAGAGTGTAGAGAGAAATGTAGAGAGAGATAGGGTTTAGAGAGAGAACCATAAATGGTAAATGAGGGAAGGGAGAGAAGTCCCCTTGCTTGGAGGGTCTGGCCTCCTTATATAGGAGTCGGAGGCATCCTGTGGACGCCTCCCGTTGTCATGGACGCCCCCGGTCGACTGGTCGCCTCCCGTCGATGGACGCCTCCCGTCGATGGACGCCTCCCGGTGGTGGACGCCCCCGGGTAGGCTGGACGCCTCCCGGTGATGGACGCCCTCCGGATGGACTGGACGCCTCCCGGTGTACTGGACCCTCGAATGGGCTCGGGTCCAAGGTGAGACGCTTTGTGGTGGGCTTGGGCCCGTATTAGGCGGGTTAATACTAGACCCAACATTTGCCCCTTTGCTTCTTGTATTCTGTAAGAATGGAAGGAGTAAAATAATGCGTTAAGGTGTATTAGCTTGCCTTACTTGCGAATCCGCACGATGCGGTTTTGCCCCTTGTGCGACCATTGCTTGGTGCTGGATGCCCCTGGTGATGGACGCCTCCCGATGGTTGAGACGCCTCTCGGTGATGGACGCCTCCGGGTGATAGGATGTCTCCCGGTGATGGGCGCCCACGAGTGGACTGGACCCTTGCGGGTCCAAACGATGCGGTTTGCCCCTTGTGCAACCATCATCTTTGCTTCTTAGCTTAGCATTCGATGTCTTGAGTTAGAGCTCTCAAGTCGTTTGAGATTTCCCCACTAGCCCATTGTCGAGCGTGCTAATATGTAGGCCGTAACTGTGAGCTGTATGCGTTAAGTTGTTGGACCGCGAGATGGGCATGAGCTTGTGTGCATGTTAAGCGTGAGTTGTTGGCTGAATATTAGGCGTTGGCTATGTGCTAGGGAGGGCGGCCCCCACGACTTGAGAGTTTTAACTCAAGGCGACGTTTGTGTTTTGAAGATGCCACACCTGCTGGGAGGCGGGATCGTGTTAGCTATACCGATGGCGCGCCTACTGGGAGGCGGTTTCGGGCTTCTACGTAGAGGGGAAGCATCGCTCAGGAAGCGGGATGCGGTTCTATATCTGCGAAAGATGTGAGTGACTAGTGCCCCATATTTTTAGAGCACAAACATAAGCATAGCATAGGATGTAGTGAGAAATATCATAGTATGATATTAGTGGCGGTCTTCATGGCATAGTATTTGAATATATCTTAGAAGGAAGTACTTATCTCGAGAATAAGTTGTAGAAGACAGCTGGGAAGCGGTCTAAATAACGGGAGTCGCACTTTGATTCACAAATAAGTGTTGTAGTGCAGTGGTTCAGCCTTTGATGTGGTGAGGGTGGGCGCGCGGGTTCGAATCTTGATAGACACATTCTACTCATCTTTTTTGGTGAGCGGCTTCCTATAGGCCTTTGGACTTGATGTGCGGGCCTAATTAAAGGGGACGCGGGTTTTGGTCGGCGGTCCTTAACGAGAGGCGGATTTGGGCTTCGGAGGCTCAGTTGGGCATGGGCCCTTGATGAAGTCGGAGGCGGTCTTCGGAAGCAGAAGAAGGCGCGGGTCTGCGTTTGCGCTGAGGCGGGCTGGATGCTGTCGGAGCGGTCGATGTTTGGGCTTTGACACAAAGCGGGCTTCATCTTGGGCTTTGAGGTGCGTATGCGGGTCGGACGAGTTGTGAGTTGGAGGCGGGCCCAAAGTGAGGTGTGCGGTTTCACGATTGGCGGCCGAATGCGGTTGGGCTGAGAATTCGTCGGGCTTTGTTGCGAACTTTGATAAATATAGAGCGATGCAAAAATATGCAAGATGTGTTCTTCTAGCAGACTGGTGAGCACCCGTGTTTGATGGAAGCAGGATGCGGGTTCGAAGGTTGGCGGACTTGCTTATATATTCTTTTTTATTGAGTATACTTTCTTCTCATCAATGGGCTATGCTGGCAAGGAGAGGGAGTGGGCCTCGGAGTCGCTTCGTGCGGGCCCAACTGCCGTGCGGATGTGTGAGGTGGACCCTTGCATTTGGCGGTCCAACTGAAGGCACGAGGCGAGCTGGAAGCGGAAAGCTAGCCCATCATCGGGCTTTGGTGGGAGGCCCATGGACGCATACATGGAAGGCGGTCTGGGCCAAATATAAAGGTGTGATGACGGCCGTGGCAGCGGTCCAAGTTGCGTGAAGGACGAAGCGATTGGGCTGATGTCAGAGACAGCTGTCTTTTCTTTCTTTTTGTAGGCCCCCTCTTTTTGTAGGCCCCCACTGTAGCAGAGCTGCTTTTTTTTTTTTTTTTGTCAGAAAAGCTTCTTTTTCAGAAAAAGCTTTGGGAGATGTGACAGACCCTTTTTTTTCCCTTTTTCTGACAGAGAGGGAAAAAGTAGCTGTCAATGACTTTTGGAGAAGAGTGGGAGGAGGCCGATGTGACATGATGGTGATTGCCGGCTGCCGCTCTTCTTCCTTTCCTTGTCGGAGCTATGGTGGCGCACACAACTCCGATGACCGGAGTCGCCGTGAAGATTGGCGGCTAGGGAGTTGGTGACGATGGCGGAAGAGCTGATTTCTCTCAATCCTCTGATGGGATTTTGCGGTCGGAGCCATCGGTGGTAATTAGTGGAGAAAGAATCGATTTCCTCTCCTCCTTCAGATACCAAACGAGAAGAGTACCAAATCAGGCCCCACGGTGGGCGCCAAAATGTTTGACCCGGATTAGTACCGGGGATTAGAGTGGAACCTTGATCCGGACTCCCTCGTCTGATCTCCTCGGGAGTGGAAGAAACCTGTGGAGAGTCGGGGGCGGCCCCCGTGATCTACACTCCGACGCCCAAGTTAGTAAGGATAGATGATAGAGTGTAGAGAGAAATGTAGAGAGAGATAGGGTTTAGAGAGAGAACCATAAATGGTAAATGAGGGAAGGGAGAGAAGTCCCCTTGCTTGGAGGGTCTGGCCTCCTTATATAGGAGTCGGAGGCATCCTGTGGACGCCTCCCGTTGTCATGGACGCCCCCGGTCGACTGGTCGCCTCCCGTCGATGGACGCCTCCCGTCGATGGACGCCTCCCGGTGGTGGACGCCCCCGGGTAGGCTGGACGCCTCCCGGTGATGGACGCCCTCCGGATGGACTGGACGCCTCCCGGTGTACTGGACCCTCGAATGGGCTCGGGTCCAAGGTGAGACGCTTTGTGGTGGGCTTGGGCCCGTATTAGGCGGGTTAATACTAGACCCAACACCTATGAACTTGTGTTACATCTAATTCAATTCAATCTGATGAGATAGATCGAAAGATTGATTGGATTAAGATATATGAAAATTTCCAAATTTTTTAATAAAACAATGTACCATTATCAATTTGTTTCAAATTTCGACTAGGGGTCGGTCTAAAAACCGAATTGTTGTACATGCTACTTGCACACCAAGGAACTCTTATTCTACCTGAATTCATATTCCCGATTCAGCAATCTGATTTTCTTTCTCCATAACATAATTAGAGATACGATCAAGATTGCAAATGAAGATCTAAAGAGTATCTATACTCGGATACACACGAAAATACTCGTACAGAACTTTCCATAGGAGTAGTGACATAAGGATTAAATGTGACCTACATAAAACCATGATTACTGTGTAAATCGAATACCAGATCAAAATATTAGGGTTGGTCTACTCGGCTTCAGTGCTCTTAACCTTACTTGCATGTTATTACTAGCTTGAACCCTGCCCGTTGGGCAGTTAGCTCTATTATTATATTTCGACATTGATTTATTATTTTAGTTTATGGCTATTGATTATATCCAAACTTTTAGGTTTATAAGTCCAATATAGAAATAGTACGTAGTAGCGTAGCTAAAATTTATGACCCTGTACAATGGTACACGAATTTGGTTTGTCAGAAAAGAAATAGATTATCGATGGTATTTCACCACACTTTACTTTAAATCATCACTTTGATCATAGCTCTAGCCTCAAAATCGTTCCATCTTTGCTAAAATCATCAAGCAATGTGACAAAATTAGGCATATATTACTTTCTACCATCTTATTCAACATTATTAAAGCTTCAGCCCTCCTAAGCAAAATGCAGAGGCAACAAATCAAGCAATCGTAGGTGATAGCATATGGTTATATTTTCTTATCCGTCAACTCTGAAAAAATATCTGAAGTTCTAGAATCAAATCATCCTTGTAGAGGTCATCAATGATAGTGTCATATCTAGCAAAATAAGGGCGACAAAACAAATGTTGCATTTTTTCAAGCAACTCAAGACATGCATCAGTTTACCATCTTACACAACCCATTTAAGATGGAGTTGTAAGTGATGACATTGGGTTTATATCCTAAAGGCGCTATCAAACTGAACAACTTTAGAGTCACAATCAATGATATATGCATGGAATGCATAACCTAATTGAGGGTACCTTATGTAAAATGACAGTTGGGAGTTGCAGGTAGATGGCAAAGAAGAAGATGCTTGAGTTGGAGTCGAACTTGAAGGGCTAGAGTAATTCGTCGTAACTGCACAATGATCTAAGACATTTGCGTGTCAGAAAAACAACAATGGTAGACCAAAGCTATCATGAATCTGTTTATATGCTGCCCTGCTCCTCTAGTTCGAATTGATTAGATACAAAGCCTATAACAAAATGAACATAATATCATTATAGCAAGGATGGTACAAAATTTGGCGTGCTTTGTGAATCAATGGCGGACGTATCTTTGCTGCTAGATGTGGAGAAAATTTCCTCGTAGTTCTTGTTACCTTCTCACTGAAGGTCCCTGCAACGATGCACAGACAGCCTTTTATGCAGAACAACAAATAATCCAATGACCACCAAATCAAAGCAAACGAAAGATTGCTATCTGAAAATCTTATGGAATTAACCAAAAGAGAGAGCAGGGAAGCGGGGTCATCAAGAGGTCGAGAGCAGCGATGAGGTATGGTAGAAGAGCGCCCAAAAGACGGCGGAGATGAGATGAGATGAGAGCGGGCTGCGGGGTGGTCGCCTGCGGTGGCCGGAAGCAGAATTCACACTGTTGCGGTGCAGTTGATTAGAATAACAGGGAATAGATTAGGCTAGGGCAGGCGGGAGGCGATTGCAGTTATGGATTTTGGAGGAGAGGAAGCGGCGGAACAGTTCAGGGGAAGAAACAACGGTTTTCTGTGCTGAACGGGTTTATTAGAGGCTGACGTGGACAGTCTCAAATTGCAGGGAGGAGTACGTGGCAGTGGCTTAAATCTAAAAGCCCTTATATATATATATATATATATATATATATATATATATATATATATATTAAGATTTATGTCGCACAGTTTGCTACATTTTTATCTTTACAATTATTTAAGTAGGCCTAGAACTCAAATCAGCTGACAAAGTAACAGGTAACTTGGGTTACAAGATACAAACTTCAGGAGGAAGGAACAGCTCTGACTGGAACATCAGATGGGTAGTCTTGCGGGTACCTCGTGACAGTCTGTTGCAGCAACTTCTCTTGCTCAAACAGATTGGAAGGAACGGCATCATAGACATCTGTAAACATATCCCCGACAGGCGGCTTCTCGATCTTTTCTGCTACCTGAATGGCCTTCAAAAGCTGTTTTTTTTTCCCAAGCGAAGGCCATGGTTCAATCAGGGAACAATTTGGAGAGAGAAGTTTAGTAAGGATTGACGATAAATGCTAGTCCCTATACTACCTGTAACTTCTAAGCAACAAGTTTCTGTATGATTCCATCTAAATCAGTTACTGGTGAGTGCGATCATCCTTAATAAACACATCACTGGAGACTCAAATGTTATGTGCACCAGTTATCTCCATTTTGCCCCTCAATCGCATCCACCATCGAGGACTGAATGAAGGGTTGAGGGAGGGGGAAAAGACTGGACTTTAATTATACATGACATGTGAGTCATCAGAGACGTACTCATTAAGCATGGATGGACACATAGTACATGAAGCATATTAGCTAAAGCAACAGTATAGAGAATGACATCAATCAGCAGAAACAGAGAGGTGAAGAACTTTTAGCGAATCACAGTTTCTTACCTCCTTCCTGGAGTTGCTTCTAAGCTCTGCCTCGGCCTCATCGTTCCACCAACCGTTGCTCTCCAACCACTTCCGGTATAAAGTCAGAGGGTTCCGTGCCATTTGCCACCATTCAATCTCCTCAAGTGGACGGTACCTAGTGGAATCGTCCGATGTGGTGTGATGCCCTACTCGGTACGTTACAGCCTGCCAATGAAATGCTCGCGTAAGATATTCTATGAGGTTATTTTGAGGAAAATGTTACCAGAAGCATAAAGTAGAACTCAAACTGGGTGAGAAAAATAATTAAAGTGAATAATTTTGAAATGGTGATCCCGTGTTGTTGACATTTTACATATATGTGTTTATCAATACCTTCGTTGTTAACTTTTTTAGGATATATGTAACATCTAACTTCATGGGTAATTCTATATTTGAGGTTGATTGTCTATAAATGTTTGTTTGCAACATTTTGTCGTTGTACAACTTTCATGCATGATGCTCTAGGCCTGTTTGATGAAATTAAGTAAAACACTTTATCTTTCAGTAGAAGAAGAAACAAAGTTCACCTCAATCAGGATGGGTTTTTGTTCAGTTATTGCCATTTCCCGAGCAGAACGAACTGCAGAGTACATTGCAAGAGCATCATTACCATCTACACGGATGCTGCGAACTCCATAAGCCTGCCCTTTAACCACAACTCCATCACCTACCAATCACACATTAAGAAGACCATAAGACACAGATTTTAGACTCTTCCAAAAGTAAGAGAATGCAGAGGAGGGAAGAATACTTCGGAACTGGTCTGAAGCTGGTGTACTAATAGCCCATCCATTGTTCCGGCAGAGAAATATGACTGGAGCTTCCAAGACCGCAGCAAAATTCAAAGCAGCATGGAAATCTCCCTATCAGTACATAACGTGTTAGAGAAAGAATCAAAAGCATAATAAAGGAGAGCAGTTTAAATTAAAATTATAAGTCCTATTTGTGCCACCTCAGAGCATAAATGAGAAACCAATCATGTTTATCTGCCCATGATAATTCTCTGGCAGAATCATGTATGCATAAGAAAAGGAAAGCCCCAGCAGAAAACATGACAAATGGGCAAATAAATATTCACCGTCCTTGGTGAAGGGAGAGAGGGTTACTCTCAAGGATCAGAAGTCAGAACAACAGATAAAACATACCAATCAGTGACCTGATCACACTCATGGTCCCTAAGAATTGCTACAAGAGTGGACAGCACCCCATATTAGATCTTTCAAGCCAGGTAAGTTATATCCCTCTAGGAAATCACATTACTGCCTCAGAAGATCAAGATTCAGGCAGTTAATTGCCTAAGCAGCTTTCTGAATCAGTCAATTGTAATCACATGAGAAAAAGAAAAAAAAAAACAGTGAAATAGAATATTTGTTACCTCACTGGAACCGCCATCACCAAAGTACCCAACAACACAAGCATCTTTGCCATCCATCTTCAAGGAATATGCAGCACCAACAGCATGCGGAAGTTGTGAACTGCGAACGCAATAGCAAAATCTGTAATGTTCCCTTCAACCCAAAGGTGAAGGAATTGTAAAACAACAAAATTTGCAAGGGTCATCATCTTACGCAATCGTCGATGCAACAGTGAAATAATTAAGCTTTTTCGATCCGTAGTGCACAGGCATCTGTCTTCCTTTACCATCATCGAATTTATTGCTGAAGCATTGGTTAGCAAAATCTTGAGGTGTGAAACCACGCCACAAGAGAATTCCTGGCTCCCTATACTGCACCAGTCATCAGCAGATTATTTTTCTTTACCCTAAAAAAAACAATGCACATATGAATCTACTCATGGATCTATCAAAATCATGATAACAGAAGTATCTAAATGAAGGCAATGAATTAGTGCAAAGAGAGAATGAGAGTACTATTTACTATTCCATAAAACCTGAGGGACAATGAAATCATCAATCTTGAGTGCTGCTGCTGACGCAATATTGATCGCCTCCTCTCCTGTAGTTGTAACATAGAACGAAATCCTTCCTTGCCTCTGCGCTTCATAAAAGATGGTGTCCATGGTGTTCAGTTTCACCATATCAGTGTACATCTTCATAGCAATCTCTTTGCTGATCTGGTTCCAACAACAGTACAAGTAAGACATCATCCTCATAAATAAACATATGCTTTTATCGGTACCGAAACAGGAGCAGATATTTGAGTCAAAGTACCCCAGCAAAGTTTCTAGAGTCGATTAGCTGACCGTTGTTGTCGAGTACACGGTAGCAGGGAACCTTCTCCTCCGGCAATTCAGATGTGAATCTCATCCCCGAGGTATATGGTACTTTCCCTCCCAGCACACTGAATTTCTGCAAAATTTCAATGGAATCATGGCAGTTAAGCACGTTCTGGAACCGAGAGGGGAGAACCACTAGTTGATAACATTTGCAAATGGCGAACTTGGATTATCAGTTCCCGCGAAGATCATCACAGATCAAAGCAAACTTTAGCAAAATACACAGGTCCTCAACTTCACTAAACCAAGGGAAAACACGAAAGCGATCGCCCATGGAAGTGCAAATTAGACAAACCAAATACCAAAGCCCCGGACGAACATAAGAGCAAGTACAAACAAGCAACATCGCTGCCAAATTGAGCTTACAATAGTTCCTAATCCACTAAAAAAGCTAGAACAGAATCGTCCGAGCTAGTTATACCTGACTGATTTCGTCATCATAGCAGTGAGAATCCACCCGACTCTCCGATTCGGTTGTCTGAAATCGACGAGGAGAGGAGAAGAAGAGACTGAAACTCGAGAGGCCGAAACCACGGCCGCCTTGAAAGCCCGGTCTGGCGATGAGACCCGCGGTGGTGGTGATTTTACCGGAGTTCCTCAGGAGAGAAGCCATTGATGGAACATGCAAATGCAGATGGAAGAGCTTTCAGTAGTTCCCAGTTGACTGTTGTGTTGAGACGTTATTTTCCTTTCCTTTTTCAATGACTCGGGAAGACAGAAGGAAAAAAAAGATTAAAAAAAGACTGGACTGATGGAACGAGAAAATTGGTCTCATTCTCACGTGTGCAAATTTGATGGGAACAGTTGGTGACTTGGTGGATAAGAGAACCCTTGGGAGTTGTGAGGAGAGATTTCGCTGTGGGCTATTGGGCCGGTTTGGTGGGCTAGGCTAGTGATATAGTACATTTATGGTGATCCGCCATTTCAATCATTTTAGTAATTTCTTATTCATCTCACATACATAACTACAATTTACTTTCGGCTTATTTAACTGAATTGTTTGTTACTTCACACTTGATTACATACATCCGACATCGTTTTGTAGTCTACACATACTATAATACACCGAAGGGGAAAACGGGAGCCCCATTTGAAATTTCCTGCAACGAGAGTGAAAGTAGGAAGAACATTTTGGTCTTCACAATTACTTTTTTTTATTCACTAAAAAGACACGTAGTGGGATTCGAACAATGGCCATTTTAAAGAAAAACAATGATCATAACCAATCACACTAAGTACATTTGTTGTATCTTTTTAAATTAAAAATATATAATAGCAGGGAGGAAAAAACTTTTCCTCCATTTCAAATTCCCTGCTCCAGGAGCGTTTGTAGGAAGGGTAGAATAGGGAATGTCAATTTTTTCCTTTTTCCTCTATGGAACGGGCCAACTTACCGTACACATGCGGATTTAAACGGGTCCAGGAGTGTCAATTTTTTTTCTTTAAGCTCTTTTATTTCTCTATGGTGATAAAATATATATGAAAAGGCAAAAACAATACTCTTTTTTATTGCTAAAAATAATTAATTTAACAATAAACTAATGCATGGTATCTAATGGGCTAACTGCTAATCATAAAATAAAAGAGTTGAATGAGCCTAACCTACACGGGATTTGGCCATCAAGTAAAACAAATGAACATCATTGGTTTGCCATTCTAAAAGCGTTTGTAGGAAGAGTAGAATATGGAGTGTCAATATTTTTCTCTTTCCTCTGTGGAACGGGCCAACTTACCGTACACATGCGGATTTAAACGGGTCCAGGAGTGTCGATTTTTTTCTTTAAGCCCTTTTATTTCTCCGTGGTGATAAAATATATATGAAAAGGCAAAAACAATACTTCTTTTTATTGCTAAAAATATAAAATTTAACAATAAACTAATGCATGGTATCTAATGGGCTAACCGCTAACCATAAAATAAAAGAGTTGAATGAGCCTGACCTACACGGGATTTGGCCATCAAGTAAAACAAATGAACATCATTGGCTAAAATATAATATATTTTAAAGTTATTCAATGGTTCAACCTCGACCAACCCAATTAGTCCAATTTTTATCATTTCAAATATATATTATATAATTATTTGATATCATAATGATCAAATTATAGTGTATTTTACAGGGAATCGTTTGGTATTTGTTAGTAAAAAACTAAACAGAAAGATCTATTTGGTTATTTTAAACATTAAAACGATCCTAAACATTTTCAGTTCTTTTTGAATTTCTATGGTTTTATTCCCGAATAAGTGATGTGCAAATGGCGAATTGCAGTCATCTCTTTTCTTTCACTATTTTTTATTTTCAAATAGAAAGTTTAAAAGTTAAGAATAATTAGAATTTTGCATGGGTCGGTCAAACAGGCTTAATTTCAAGTTCTGGCCCGTTCCGATCAAGTCTAATTTATAATCACATGGTTCCCTGATACTCGATAAAAATCTCAATCCAAACCAGTTTGGTAGGTGAGTCCGTGTTTACCACCATTTTCTAGGGATACGACAACGGTGGTTTCTATCTCAAATCGTGTTGTTCGTTCTTGATTTTCTTAGATTTTATCATGGCCTGACAAAAACCAGAAAGCACAATGACGACATGATGAAAGTTTTATAAAGCTAATTAATCGGCCAACGGGTCCAGTAAAAGCTAGCAACGATTGTGAGATGCTAAATTTCCGAAAACCTACGAGATAGGCGATTTTTTATTCGATTTTCTGGAATCCGGTTTCTATAAAACTTACTCCACCTCATCATATTACCAGAAACAATATTGTTTCACAAGGTAACATATACTTGATTTTGGTTCATAAGGCCGATTTTTGATTCGTTGCATCATTTATGTCTCTTTCCTGCTAAAATTCATTATTTTTATCACGTGTTTCAAAAAAAAGTACTATACAACAATAAGCTATACACCCCATTACATTATCAAATTTCATACCTCACCTTCTTCCGGCCAACTGGCCGGGGCCCACGCTAGTATGTACTATGTAGTGAATGTAAAATCCTAGTACGACATAACTTGGAGAAATACACACAATTTTAATATATATAAAGCCGATGCTTAGTTACTGTTGCCTAAAAATTATCTATTTTGATCCTCAAAGTTTATTAAATTACAACTTAGTCACTATAATGTACACTTTACATTTTGATATCCCAAATTTAATTTTAGTGTAATATCATTGAACAATTATGTTTTGGTATCTAAATTTTATGAGATTTTCGTATCTACAATTTTTTTATTCACATATTAGTTCAATGTTTATATTTCAATTGAATCCATGAATCCAATCCACCATAACATAAAGGTATAGATTTAGTTTGTATCATAATCATACAAGATGTTGTATCACTCAGCTGTAGGAGAGGATTCAACCTTTTTATATTTGATCAGTACATGAAACATTTACACAAATAATAAAAGAGAGACGATTCTAAAATATTGCAAGAGTGAATTTATAAACTCATTTAGTACATTTACGGGGGTACTCAATAAACTTCTACTAACTACATGTAAGAAAATATGCGACATCTACATAAGCAAGTGTCAATAAATTGTTACGGTGAAAATGGTTCACTGTTGTATTGATGGTCAACTAAAAGAAGTGGTCAAAATTTTTCCACCATCTACTTCCTCTTCGTTTCATTTTTCACTCTCCTTCCATAATCCTTTCTTTATTTCTTTCTTTTCCTTCTTCGTCTAACCCTAATTAGTATTGTTTGAACCATCTAACTCCGGTATGAACAATGATATTTGTTGGTGTGGGTTGACTCGTCGTCCGTTCGTCCGATCTCGTCGGGAGGGAGAGAACCTGTGAAAGAGCCGGGGTTGCCCCCCGGATTAAGCTCCGACGAGCAAGTCAGATGTCGGTTTGTGGAGAGAGTTGAGAGAATGAGGTAGAGAGATGAAGTGTAGAGAGATAGTGGAAAGTGGAAAGTGGGGAGAGGAGGAAGAAGTCCCCCTCCTTGGTGGGTTTCATACCTTTATATACTCGTAGCGGGTTTAGAGCGTCATACGTTGTCGATTGAACGCCGTATTCCTTAGTCTCTGCGGGGAGCCCCTTAGCAACACCCCCAACAATTGCCCCCCAAGCTGGTGGTGAGTTTTAACTCATCACTAGCTTATATTTTATTTTTTTTAAATCTTTGTCGGTAATTTTGGGTGGGGCCTATGTACCCCAGTTGCCCCCCAGCTGGTGGCGCGTTTGAGTGACGCGGTGCCAGCTTCTTGCGTCTTGCCCCCCATTAGCGCCATCAACGCTTAGGATAGTAAAATATTTTAAAAATTTAATAGTGATGGGGGGATAGAGTACTTAGCTTTATATTGGCAGTGGCGGCAGGAGTAGTTGAAAGGCAGGCGCTGCGCCATTGAAACAGAACCTGAGTGGTAGCCTGCAGGTTGTTCTTTCGAACTGGGCGCGAATAGTGCTGGACTATTGCTAATTTTTGTTCTTTCGAACTAGGCGCGAATAGTGCTGGACTATTGCTAATTTTTTGTTCCGTGGAACTGGGCGCGAATAGTGCTGGACTATTGCTAATTTTTGTTCTTTCGAACTAGGCGCGAATAGTGCTGGACTATTGCTAATTTTTTTTGTTCCGTGGAACTGGGCGCGAATAGTGCTGGACTATTGCTAATTTTTGTTCTTTCGAACTAGGCGCGAATAGTGCTGGACTATTGCTAAGTTTTTGTTCTTGCGAACTGAGTGGGCGCGAATGTTAAAATTCAGACGCCACACCATTGAAACACAAGGTACTTGTGGCCTGCTGGTAAGGATGCTTGCCTGTCGAAGGAGTGGCGCGGGTTCGAAGGCTGGCGACGACTACATTATTTTTAAGTAGTGCGCCTGTTGAATGCGGGCCGCAAGTACGCTTGGGCGCGAGCAAGGGTGCATTGCGCTTGTGGACGCGGGTTGAGTTGGGATGGGCCGCGAATACTGAGCCGCCGAGCGGAAGTGGGCCGCGAATAGAGAAGGCGGGCGGGCTAAGTTGAGTTGGGCCGCGAGTGCGCTTGGGCGCGAGCAAGGGTGCAGGAGGTTTTAAGTTGGCCGCGCGCCATTGAAACACAAGGTGTGCGTGTAGCCTGCTGGTAAGGATGCTTTTGTAGTGTGGGGGTGACGCGGGTTCGAGTCCCCGCGATGATGATGCTTTTTGACGCGAGTTGGTGATGGCGCGGATTCATTAATATGAGAGTACTGCGCCCAAGGATCACCAAGCACATCTGTAGTCTGTTGGTGATATGGCTTGTCTGGCTGAAGAGTGAACGCGGGTTCGATTCCTCTTGGCGGCAGCATTTTCTTTTTGGTGGTCTCAGCGCCTGTTTGTAGGCTTTGCGGACCATGTTCTGCGGGCTTGTTGTCGAGTTGTGGATTTCCCATCTTTGGTGAGTGGGCCGCGAGTTGGAGGAGCAGCGCGAGCAAAAGGCTAAAATAAACCTTCCGCGCTCATTTGACAACAATTGTCACGTAGTCCACTGGTTCCGTTTGCTTGCACACGAGTGGTTGGTCAGCGGTTCGACGCTTGTCTGCCACACCTCATTTTTGGGTGCCTCGCGCACGACTGAGCGGTGATGGGCCCATCTGGCGCGAGTGGGCCGGGTGACGCGAGCTGAAGCGCCTGCGAGTCGGGCCGCGAGTGTTGTGGGCCGCGAGTTGAAGTTGAAAAACTTTAAAGTAGTGCGCTGCGCCTTCGAACCACAAACAATATTTGTAGCGCACTGGTATTGTTGCTTGACACGGGGAGGAGTGACGCCAGTTCGAACCCTCGCGGCGACTTCAATTATTTTTGAAGGCTTCCGTGCGTTGGGCCCGAAGCAGAGCGGGGCGTGCGCTGGTGGGCTGATTTGGACGTGGGCCGGGGTTGGGCCAGAAGCAGAGCGGGCCGCGCGCTGGTGGCTGAAGCGGCTGAAATTGAAGGCTTCCGTGCGTTGGGCCAGAAGCAGAGCGGGGCGTGCGCTGGTGGGCTGATTTGGACGCGGGCCGGGGTTGGGCCAGAAGCAGAGCGGGCCGCGCGCTGGTGGGCGCCCGCGCTGGTTGGCTGATATGGACGCGGGCGGGTCAGGCCGCGCTATGGTGGCTGAAGATGGCTTGGCGGTCCGTGAGTAAAACCCATCCATCTGCCTTGATATTTGTGTCTCTCGATTTTTGTGCTCTTTTTCTTCTGTGCACTTTTTCTGACAATGGGTGAGGGTAGAGGTAGTGTGTTATTAGAGGAAAAGTTGCAAGTGATGTGACAATTGATAGCGACCACAAGGTCTTTTCCCTCCTTTTCAGTTGGTAGCGTTTCTCGGAGACGACTTCTGGCGGTGGGCAAAGGAGTTGATGAAGGCGGCGAGGGTGAATTTTTGGACAGATCCGCTGCCGTCGATGCGGCTTTGGAGGGTGGTAAACGCTTTAACCTTTTGTGAAGATCCAAATGATCTTCTCTTTATTGTCGAGCCCCTCCCTCTTTTCTTTTACTAGGCTGGCCTTCAAAGAATTTGGCAGCTGCTGTGGCGCCCAGTTGGTGGAGAAGATTTCCAGCTACTGTCGAATGGTGTTAAGAGGCGGCCAATTTCCATTCTCCCTTCAAAATCGAACGAACAGATGTCGGAATCAGCCCCACGGTGGGCGCCAATTGTTTGAACCATCTAACTCCGGTATGAACAATGATATTTGTTGGTGTGGGTTGACTCGTCGTCCGTTCGTCCGATCTCGTCGGGAGGGAGAGAACCTGTGAAAGAGCCGGGGTTGCCCCCCGGATTAAGCTCCGACGAGCAAGTCAGATGTCGGTTTGTGGAGAGAGTTGAGAGAATGAGGTAGAGAGATGAAGTGTAGAGAGATAGTGGAAAGTGGAAAGTGGGGAGAGGAGGAAGAAGTCCCCCTCCTTGGTGGGTTTCATACCTTTATATACTCGTAGCGGGTTTAGAGCGTCATACGTTGTCGATTGAACGCCGTATTCCTTAGTCTCTGCGGGGAGCCCCTTAGCAACACCCCCAACAAGTATACTATTTTTATGTATTCTAATCACAAGTATGAATGAGTCCATACACGACTGACCAACAGTCTAGAAAATTAATAACTGAACCATGAACCACTAACTTTTTCAGCTCAATGTCGAGTTCAATGAAAAACAAATATATATGGTTATTACTTATTAGAAAGTCGTCGTTTTGCACTACGGGATTTGAATGCATGAAATTTTAAGCGAGTTCTAGTTTATATTCCTTTTGCTTCTCTCTAGAGTTTTTCTTTTTCACCCGCGCTATGAATTTTCAAAAATTATACATGAGATTTTCAACAATTATACATATCAAATAAATAGTAAATAATTATCATCTTAAATACATCACCATAACAGGAATTAAGTCTCAACTATGCAAATTAAAATTGGGTAAACTTAATAGATCTTTAGATTTATAACCTAAATGTTTTCGGCACATAAGTCCTCAAAATATTGATGGAATATTATATTATAGTACCTAAAATTTTTGTGTATTGCATTTTAGTACTTGAACTTTTGAAGTTCTACAAATAGGTCTAATTTTTGTATGTGTAATTAAAACACCCTCAAATAAATGGGTATCTATACCCAACTCATACACATTTAGATTATGAAATTAAATATCCATACCCTACCATAACCCATCTACAAACTTCCAAATCCATATATACGTCACTCATACCCTACTCATAATCAATGGCTCTAATTGGGTTTAGGTAAATATTATTTATTAGCCAACATTTTTAAAAAATTTAAATTGGATGTTGACCGCTATATATCTCTTCTCAGTCAAGTCAATATTACTAACAAAACTGCTAACAAAAAATTAATTTTAGCATAATAATACTAACAAAACAACATAACGGGCCACATAATACATACTCATAGGCCATCTCCATCCGCGACAAGGTGCGGCATCGCCACCTAGTATATCTAATAGACGAATTTGGTGCTACACGCATTATTACAATTTACAACACATCAACATAAAAGAGTCACTTACGATTTAAATTTTAATAAATTGATCAATGTTGTCCCATCACCATGCCACGTCATCATAATATACCGTCAACCCCCCCCCCCCCCCTGGCCAACCCGGGCAACCAATCCCCTATCGCCTTCTCTTTTCTCTTTCCAGCTCGAATTCTAATCGAGTAAGCTAGCAAGTAGAAAAGGAAGTATATAATTATGGATTGGAACCCTAATCAATAGTCTCTGAGTCTTGGCTCTGATTGGAGAGCTGTAGTCGTTGCTGGGCTTTTTTTTTTGTCAAAAGATAATCGATATATTGATAAAAAACATAGGTAATTACATCCTGGTATTAAGCCAGGCAAACAAATTAAAGCAACGACTCGTAGTCGGGTACAAAGAAAGAGCCTTTCTAGCCACCAAGTGGGCTGCCCTATTGCTACGCCGACCTACAAACCGAACAGAGAATCCTCCCAACGAACCCATCATCCCTACAATCTCCTCAAGAAGTGCCCCCACCCTATTATCCCTAGTGTCTGCGAACAATATGTTAAAAACTGAATTTGACAGAATTGAGCGATTGTCTAGTGAGTGAAAATGTATGCGAACAATATGTTAAAAACTGAAAAAATAAGCGATTTGTTTGTTAACAACGTGACCATTTTTTTGCTATTGACCCGTCAAAATATGGCTTGGGTATTAATTGTATATATGTAAGTGGGCTTAACTAGAGAGTTGGGTTTGTTACCTGTGGTAGTGAGCCGGGGAGATCTCGGCCACGTAGATCGGCCCCGTGACGACCCCAAATTGGTCATCGTTGATCACATTGACCACCACCATCCCTCTTTTTGTTTAACATGGTGGCGACCTTGAGAGTCTCAATGGCCAACAACGTTCGCATGGTGTTCATCGTCATCAAATTGGTCATCTCAAGTCAAGATGGTCCATTAGAAGAATCGAGATCACTAAGAAGGAGATTCTAGTGAAAACTAGGGCAAAGAATGTTGCCACGCACACATCATCTTTGCATCCACAACATTGTGGGCAACAAGTATCGGTTAGAGGTGAGTTAGTACTACATGCTATCTCCTGATATGTGATCGTGATGAGTCTTCTGAAGCTTCAATCTACTCTAGTTGGGCATGTAGCAACATAATTCGTGTGGCCGTTGTAGGATGAAGAAGGAGAAAATGTAGGATGATAAACCTAGGGTATCCCATTATTCACATTAGATCATCATATGTGTTGTATTTTATATGATATACTTTAGATTTTTTATGTTATATAACATGAGTTTGCTATATATATAGTGTTCTCCATTGCAAATTATAGGTGACATAAGTAGGTTTCTTTATATATATGGGGCAATGGGAGGGCATCTATTGAACTGGTATATAACGGTATATACCAGTGTTATTTTATTAACCGACATATACCAATTTTATTTCGATAGGATCATACCATTTGATAAGCTGGTATAAAATCGATGTGAATACTTTGGGGAAAAAAAACCCTCGATCAAACTGAGAAACAATATATATGTTTCAGGAAAGTTAAAATTGCGTTGAGGAATGAAGCGGAAAAATAATCAGTAAAAAAAAACCAATTATCTTTGAGCTTCTAAGGTGACAAGCTTTTAATTGATTGCCGATTGAGTTAGACACAAAGACGTGGTTGCATTTGTATGGGCAGGAGCAGGACATGATTGAACTACGGCTGTTTGGATGAGAAATTGTAAATAAATCAATTTTATCTAATTGTCTTGTTTTGATGATCAAATTGACTCGATAGCATAAAATTTGAATAGAACAATTTGATTTGGAGAAACTGGAGTTGATATGACTCCAATGGTGTGAAATTGAAACATGTAATTAGAATTAATTCATTAAACAACTCATTTTATAAAATAACATAATTATTTTACATTAATGATTTCACACGTACCAAAATTACCCAATCAAACTTAGGACAAATTTCTACAATCGGCCCAGCATGGTAAAATGAAAGCATTTATATTTCCAAGGGCATGCATGCACCAGCGTATATGGACCAAAATTAGAAAAAGCTTTAAAAAAATGATAATTAGAAAAGGCTTAAAATTACATAGAGTATAAAGAATTCACGTTCATTTTAGTAGTGGCATTCTTTCTTGTCCATCCTCATTGCCCAATAAAAATCCCATCAAAAGTTTGAGTTTGTGAGGACAAGTATTCTGTAAATAATTAATTTTATCTCTTGTTTGTTGTTTTGGATTTTTCCTCTTTTCTTTCGTCCGAAACAAGTAGAGAAATTGAGGATTGAAGGGCTCTCTCTTGAATTGGATTGAAACCACCTCTCTGGTTTCCTTCAACCATTCTCTACAAATGTGTTGTTTATACATAAAACCCCATTTGAAGTATTAGAACCTTTTGATTTCTTCTTTCTTTTCCTCTCCCACCATTTTCTTCTCATCATTCCGACTCACCAAGATGGATAGATAGCGGGGACAAAAAGTTTCAGCACGAATTTGCTTTCTTCTCGTCAGGTACACGATTTTTATCCATTTTTTTCAATTAGGATTCTAGGAATTTCGCAACTATGTAAATGATTTGTGATTATGTGTCGATATAATTCATGCAAAGATATTCATGTTCATTTCTAAGTTTGATCATTTCATCCTTATGTATATCGAATGCCATCAGTTTTCTATCTTTTTTTTTTTTTTGAATCTTGGTTGAATAGCCGATATTGCTCATAATCTTTGTGGGATGTGAACATTTTCGTAGTTTTTGGTATTTGCTCAACAGGGCAAGCTCTTTTTTCGTCTAGTTTGGAATAGATTTTTCATGCAATTTCCCCCTCTTGAATGTTAATCTAGTTGTTGAAATTCAAATAATGGTTGATCTTTAATTTGGGGATTGGTTGTTTCATTTCTTTTTGGCATAAAGAAAAAATATAGAATTGTTGTTTGTTGTCTTTGCCATGGTAGTTATTGAACTAGCATTGTGATGTGGGTTGAAACCTTAATTTTGTAGTTTTGAAGGCATTTTCTGATTGAATCGACATATAAACATGGCACAAGGGAAGTATGCTAGGATAGACAACAACAGAAGACAACAGCCACCATCAAACAACTACTGCTCGACAGTGACAATTGTGGTGTTTGTAGCCCTATGTTTGGTCGGTGTGTGGATGATGACATCATCATCCATTGTTCCTGGTCAAAATGTAGACATGCCCATTCCAAAAACGGGCAAGAACGATGTGAAAGATCAAGTGACCGATAGCTCCATAAATAGTACTGCTAAAAAAGTAGACAATAACCAAGGTGGTCTGTCAGAGGATGTAAAGAAAGCATCGGAAGATACAAGGAATCCCCATGAATTTGACAATGTTGACGTACATAAAGATCAAAAGGAGAAGAAACCGGAAGAAACTTATCAACATAAGTATGATAAGAAGCCATCAAAGATGCCTGAACCAAAACTTGACGAGAAACCTGAAGAGAAGCCAAAAGAAAAGCCTATTGAAAAGACAACAACAAGTAGTGAGGCACAACCTGAGAACAAAGATGTGACTGTAAGGCATGCTGACGGACAAGTAAACCAAGTGGGCGGAGAGACAAAATCTAATGATGGTCAAGCCAATATTGTGGGGCAAGGAGACTTAAATGAGAATACCTCAGAGGAAGATAAGTCTAGTTTGTATCAGAATAAGAGGAAACATGATTTGGCAGATAGCATTAAGGCATCAAATGATAAAACTGGCGAGTCGGAAGTTGAAAAAGTGAATGAAAGCCAAGTTGTGGAGAAAGGGGCTAAAAAAGATAAGAATGAAGTCAGTAATCAAAGTCCAGGTGAACAATTTCCCTCAGGGGCTCAGGCTGAGCTTACAAATGAAACATCAACTGAAAATGGGTCATGGTCAACTCAAGCAATGGAATCAAAGAATGAGAAAGATACTCAAGAATCTGATAAAGAGTTAGTGGTATACAATTGGAAATCGTGCAATAGCACTGCTGGGCCGGACTTCATTCCTTGTCTAGATAACTGGAGAGCTATTAAGAATCTTAGATCTACTATGCATTATGAACATAGAGAACGCCATTGTCCTGAAGAACCTCCAACCTGTCTAGTTCCACTTCCAGAAGGTTATAGACGTCCAATTAAGTGGCCTAATAGTAGGAAAAAGGCAAGCTACTTTTTTTTTGTGATTGTGTCAGCCGACAAAGCTCTTTCTGATGTAACCTGACAAAAAGTTGCTACATTCTACAGATTTGGTACTCTAACGTACCTCACACTGAACTTGTTGAGTACAAGGGGCATCAAAACTGGGTGAAAGTTGCTGGTCGATACCTTGTTTTCCCTGGTGGTGGAACTCAGTTCAAACATGGCGCTCTACACTACATCGACTTTATAAATGAGGTTAAGACTTGCTTGTATTTTGTAGTTAGTTGATCTTACTATTATCCATATTGCATTGATTGTTGAGCTTATTTTGTGTATGGGCATACGTTGCCTTCTTCGTCTCCTTTGTTACCTTCAGTTGTTAGATCTCCTCTCATGAGGAATAATGTTTTTTTTTTCAAATATATTAAATATGCTATGATTGGTCATTTTAGTCAACTATGTTTTAACATCAAACATGAATATTCAAGCAAAAGAAAGTTAGGCTCTAGGCCACATTGGATTTATCATCGATAAATATCAATGTTATAACTTATAAGTAGAATACTAGAGGTTGTCTATCTGTAGTGGGTAAACTTTGTTTGTCTGAGCATAAATAGTATTTGAACATAAATAGTAAATGGTGGATTTTGTAGATCATATTTTTTACATTGGTGCATTCTCTTAGTAGCGGTTTAGTTTATTTCTTTGTCATATCTGTTGATTATATCATATTTGGGGTATTTTCTTATTAGAGGGCAATGGGGTCATTCAGTGAATTGGCAGGGACAAACTTGTCTCTAAATTAAGAGATATATATCACATATCCAAGGCTATTGGAAATCAACCCTCTTCAGTATTTCTAAATCTCTCTATACCACAAAACATCATCATTAAAATCTCATATGAACAAGTCATTTCAACCAAATTAATGGAAAAAAAAATAGATTTGAAGGTCAAATCAACCAACAAAAGGACCCATTTATTAGTTTGGGGAAATGAGGTTGTAGGTTGCATTGAAGTTTGAAGCTCTTCTTTATTTATTTCTCTTTCAGAATGTACCTGACATTGCATGGGGAAAACACAGTCGTGTAATCTTGGATGTTGGATGTGGTGTTGCCAGTTTTGGAGGGTTTCTCTTCGACAGAGATGTCTTGGCAATGTCGTTGGCCCCTAAAGATGAGCATGAAGCTCAAGTACAATTTGCTCTCGAAAGAGGAATCCCTGCTATATCTGCTGTCATGGGCACACTCAGACTTCCCTTCCCAGGCAAAGTATTTGATGTTGTACACTGTGCACGTTGTAGGGTGCCGTGGCATATTGAAGGTTAATGATCCTTTTCCATTGTCTTCAATTCGTTGATTTGTCTGCATAATCAATAAATGCAAAGTGGAATTATGAGATTACTTGTTTTTTATATTATTTTCCCTTTAGGCTTCCATTATGTTCACTTAGAATGGTTCAATTGCATCAACTAACCTCACTTTTGCTTGTTGCAACTGATAATGGTGTGTAAGTTCATTAGCTTTGAACCTGGAGGTCCAAGGTTCGAATCCCCTTAAGTAGTACATAACCACAACAAGTAAACTTATATCACTCTTATCTTAAGAATTTTTTTTTATATTGGTGTGCAGGTGGTAAACTTCTTCTGGAGTTGAATCGGTTATTGAGGCCAGGCGGGTACTTTGTGTGGTCTGCTACTCCTGTATATCAAAAGAAACCCGAAGACAAAGAAATCTGGAAAGGTAGATGATTCACAAACAAGAAGTCAGTAGATTTTCTTTCAGAACAATTGATTTCTCAAGCATTTCATTCTGCAGCTATGAGCAAACTGTTGGAGACAATGTGTTGGGAGCTTGTGACTAGAGTTAGGGATAGACTCAATGGAGTCGGCCTAGCTATTTACAAAAAGCCAATGAACAACTCATGTTATGAAAAGAGATCAGTGCAAGACCCTCCAATGTGTGAGGCATCGGATGATGCGAATGCGGCTTGGTAATTAATTCTTTATTTACAATTGAAAACTGAAGCTTATCACTCTAGTACTGACACTTGATTTTGGTTCTTATTCATAGGAATGTGCCTTTACAAACATGCATGCATAAGGTACCAATAGATTCCCTACAACGTGGGTCGCGATGGCCTGAGCAGTGGCCAGCTAGGTTGGACAAAACCCCATATTGGATGTTGGGTTCTGAAATGGGAGTTTACGGCAAACCACAACCAGAAGACTTTGTTGCTGATTATGAGCACTGGAAGCGAGTCGTCTCCAAATCATATATCAATGGAATGGGAATAAACTGGGCAACCGTTAGGAATGTTATGGACATGAGAGCTATATACGGCGGGTAATTTAAATTGTCATGTTTTTTGCAGCAAAACATAGTTATTCTCATCCTTGCTTCAATCAAAATTTCCGTATACTTCTTTCAAGTTGGATGGCCACTAAGATTACAAAGTTCAACTAAAGGCTAACTAAACTAAGTGAATTGTACAAATGCATTCGCCTTTCTAGTCTTTTTAGTTTAGTTTATTTTGACATATGATGGTCGATTTGGAAAATTTGACTCAACCGATCTAATGGCAGATTAAGAATAGGTAGAGCCACATTTTGTTTAATACATGACTTAAGTTTAGTTATCATCTAGTTAATATTTTGAGTTTTTTTTTACCATGTTGTCACATACCTGAAAGTAGGTTGACCATTTAGGTAATAGAAGACATATGGCGATTGTACTAAATTTACTTGTCCTTTTGTCACGTTTTGTAGGTTTGCAGCTGCTTTGAAGGATATGAATGTGTGGGTGATGAATGTCGTCCCAATTGACTCTCCAGATGTTCTTCCTGCCATCTATGAACGTGGACTCTTTGGAATTTACCATGATTGGTGCCAGTCGTTCAGCACATACCCTAGATCATATGATCTTATGCATGCTGATCATCTCTTCTCCATGATCAAGCAGAAGTATGATTTATTTTTACCCTCCTTCATTTTGCTTACCTTAACGAGAGCGTCATGTTTATTTCATTCAATTTGATCCTTTGCAACACATCATCGAGCTCCATGAAAATTTCATAATATACTGACCTTTTTTCCCCAGGTGCAAGATAGTTCCTCTAGTGGTGGAAGTTGACCGAATCCTGAGACCGGAAGGAAAGTTAATCGTGCGAGACACTGCTGAGGTCGTGAGCGAGCTAGAGAGCATCCTAAGGTCGATGCAGTGGGAGATCCGGATGACTTACAACAAGGACAACGAAGGGTTGCTTTCCGCCCAGAAGACAATGTGGCGGCCAAAGGAATTCGAAACGCTAGATTATGGTATGATGACCTGACTTATATGGAGCTCCTTCCCTACTAATTTTGTAATTTGAAGGTTAGAGTGCGCCCTTATTACCTTTATAGGTTCTTGGAACTCCTATATTTTTTGTACTAAATCCGTTGCAATCGGGTTTTCTTCCTGAAGGGTGTAAGGCAACAGTTAGCAAAGCTAGCCTAGTTCACTAGGCCCCAACCTAAGTTTTTTCCTAGCTTGTTGCTTGTTGTATATATCTGATGTAGAATTGAGTGTTTTTTGTAAGTCACTACTATGTAACATGGCATTGGCCACCTAATACAAGAGGGAGATATAGTTATTTTCACATGTATAATTTGCTTACTTGGGAAATGTATCTTTCCGGTTTACAAAAGGAGTAATAGTGCTTGGTGTCCCTGAACTATGGTTCCATGCTTACCTTGAAGATTAGCCTACACATGACTCCCTATACCGCCCGGTGCTCATCAGTTGAGGTTCCACAATGACTAGTATTCCATTGCCCATGGCGTGTTACGAGGGTGATGCTTAAAATTCTTTTGACGATTTGTGACGACATAGTTAGAATCTTTTGTTCATCAGTAGTCACGACTAAAGATAAGGATTTACTGTTGTATTCAAAATGACGTGCATCTCTTAGAGTCTAATAGTTGGTTCTAACCACATTACTTTTATTGAAAACTCTAGATAACCTTGCAACTCTTTGGCCCTAAGGATGCATTCATGCATACTAACGACGAAGAGCATTATCAATTACTCCAACTATAAAAGTAATCGATTTCAAACGCTTATCATTTAAGTATACCTTGACCTATTATTATATTATGATAGAAAGTAAAATCTTGGGTTTTTTTTTATAACCACAAAACAATTTTCTGTAGAGGCTAATACTTTTTTTCTTCTTCCTATAGTAGATATACCTGTTACCACATCTACACTTGAGGATAACATATTTGAATATGATCAACTTTTTTTCTTCAAACAAAGACTTCCCAAGAAATGCTTGAGAAGTTGAATCTCATTAGTTTTTTTAATGGAAATCTACTTCAACCTTTATTAATTAGAACTAGCTCTTACATCATCCAACAGTCAACACCAACTGATCATTAGTTTTGTTGGTTAAAATGAAGAAAATTGGGAGACCGAAGTAGGACCATTGAATCTAACTGAGTAACTGACCAATAATTAAGGATAAAAAATGTATTAAGAAATTAAATTTTATTATGTTAATATTTTAATTCCACTTTTGATTTTTGATATACGTGTTTTTTTTTTTGAAAATGCTAAAATATAACACGACACTAAAAATACTATGTCAGCAAATTATCCACGCTTTTGTTTTTCTTATTAAGTGAATTGTACAAAAAATTTGGCTTATTTTCTTTCAACTAATCTGACTGGCTCCATAATTTCAAAATCCTGAATTTTCTCACAAATTTAAAAAAATAAAAACTCTTCCAAGTATTTCCCGTTCTTTTTTCCCATCATATTTTGATTTTTTCAAAATTTTCCGAAAATCAGCAAAAATCATTATATCAGCTTTGAAAAATAATATTTCCGTTAAAAAAAAAAAGAAAAAACAAAGATTAAAACAGAGCGCGAAACGAGCGGGCCTCCAAAGACGCCTCCCAGGCCCGCGACATTCGGGCCCCTTTCTCCCCCCAAATTTGGTCCCCACCCGTTCCGCCGGCCGCCACGTGTCTCCTCATTTCTCTTCAGCGTTTCTCCCCTCCCGCGCTTCTACTCTTTTACCAGGGGAAAAAAAAAAACCAGTGTGTCATTCCCAGTTCCCACACACAACGCCCCTTCTGCAACTCTTTTCTTTTCTTCTTCTCTTCTCTTTTTCGTCTATCTCCTTCTACGGAAAAACCCTAATCCAAGAGAGCCAAACAGCTACACGTTCTCTCTCTCACACATTTCTCTCTTCTCGTCTATCTAATCGTAAGTTGATCTAGCTGAGCTCTCTCTCTCTCTCTCTGTTCCTTCTGTAGCTGGACCGATGGGTTTCTGATGTCTAATTCCTTGTTTTCAGGAGGAATCTAGGTTTTAATTTCGGTTTCGGATTTCGTTTTCTGTGCGGGAACTACGTGGTTGATTGAGCTCCGTCGGCAACTGCCGTCGTTGTGCTCCGGATTCTGTTTTCGGCTGGAGGAGGTGATCTTTCTTTTTCTTGAGATTTTCGGTTCCGTCCGTCTACGTTGCCTTTATTCTTGTTTGTTTCGTTTCCGAGGGGTGATTCTAGAATGAAGTGGAGTGAGAATGCGAAAAGCTATAATCGACTGCGGAGCTATTTTACTCGTTAATCCGTTTACATTTCTTAAAGGAATTAGTGTTTTCTGCTTGGTTTCTGAGAAAATCCAGGAGCGATGGAGGTTGATTTTCCCCGCTCCAGGTTGATGATTGATGTTTCTATCCATTTTTTCCCCTCCAACTTCCTTAATTGTCTCCTGTTATGTGCTGCCGTCAATGTGCTACGGAATCTGGCCTTTGATTTGAGGAATTCGGTAGGAATTTCAGCTCGTCTCATTGCGATTTGTTTGTTTGTTTTGGTCGCGACGGGAAATGTTTTGAAGGAACGAGAACAGGAATGCTGAAGTTGATTTACGTTTGAGCTATTTTAGTTTTTACCAGATGCGTTTCGTTGGAAATTTAGTGTTGCCTGTTTGGTTGCCGGGGAAATCTGGGCTGTGGAGACTAATGTTTGTTGTAATTTTCCCCGGTTGTGCTGTGGTGACAAAATAACAGGTAGCTAGGTAGTTGAATAGATACACAAGGATTAAAGAGATGCAATCTGATCGGCCGTGGTAAATAAACGCCGCCGACGTAACAGAGCGGTAGCCAGCCAACACGCAGAGGACAGATTAAAAAGGTTTTCACCGGGATTAATCGATGACGAATCCGGAGGGGAGCCATCCACACTTGGTCAGGCGGCCGTCGCGAAGCGCTGCCATGACAACATTCTCCACCGAGGTCTTCGACAACTCAGTCGTCCCTTCCTCCTTGGAGTCTATCAAGCCGATTCTTCGTGTAGCCAATGAGATCCAAAATGAGCGTCCTCGTGTTGCCTATCTCTGTAAGTACACTAATGGCACAATTGCAATCGTTCACCTTAACTGCTTGACCAACGCCAATTCTTCTGGATTTTATGGATATGGAGTTCTAATTGTTAGCTATGTATTTTAATTTCGTTTCTTGTGATTATGTTCCATGTACCGCAGGTCGGTTTTACGCATTTGAGAAGGCTCATCGGCTGGATCCCAGCTCCAGTGGACGTGGTGTAAGGCAGTTCAAAACAGCCTTACTGCAAAGAGTCGAAAGGGTAACTGATACACTTCTCACCTCTCACCACTGTATACCTTTGAGAAGGCACCTCTCCTTTTTCATTTTGGAGATTAGATGACTATATGCTATGCTATCTCCCCCTTTAGTTAAGATAGATAATAGCAAGTATCGATTATAGCCAAGATGAATTGGTACGAGTTTAAGGTTTACGTAGCCAGGTTACTGGTTAGGTATGTAAAAGCGGGTCTCAGTCATTGGAGCTGAAAGAAGAAGTTTTGGGCTTCAAATTTGGGCTTCCAAGCTTTTGGGCTTTAGATGAAACTTCGGTTGAGTTTAGACTTTCCGCTGCTTGACTAGTGACTCATACAGTCATACTGCCCGTTCTAGTTCCCTCGCAAGTCGCAACTGTTCTGGTTCCTTTTGGTTCCAAAATCCAGAAACAGCGTTTTTTTATGATCTTAAATCGTTACAGTTGTGGTAAACAATAAAGGGTTTTAGTGGATTGCTCAGCCCTAGGAAGGAATATGGAAACAATGCAATCTTCTCTCAGAAAATTCCGAGGTGAAACTGGGAATTTAGTTCGTAGAAAGGAACAAAGTCACAGAATGTACCGAAGAGGTGGAAGCAGCTTTGGTTTCTAGGACGAGGTGATGCAAGCCGCCACTGTAATCAGTTCGAGGTTTGGCATGGCCTATAGTTGCTCGTAGGAATACGTGTGGCATGCATTGATTTACCCTTGTCCATTGAACACTCATTCCTTCAAAGACTAAATTTCCCTTCTTTGTCATGTCGATTTAACCCAGGAAAACGCATCCAGTATCGCCTCCCGGGTTAAAAAAACGGATGCGCGGGAAATCCAGAGCTTCTATTACCAGTATTATAAACAATATGTTGAAGCACTTGAGCAGGGCGAGCAAGCAGACAGGTAATTTTGGCTTTCTGTCAGTCTTGATTTGCATAAGGGTATCCACCTTGATGGGTTTTCAAAGTATGCACTTTATGCGAATCCATTCAGAGCTCAACTTGGCAAGGCCTATCAGACAGCAGGAGTTCTTTTTGAAGTACTTTGCGCCGTTAATAAGACTGAGAAGGTTGAAGAGGTTGCTCCTGAGGTTAGTCCCTTCCTAGGCTGTTGCCAAGCAACTTCATGGACTTTATTTATCATTGTTGTATTCTTTAATTTATGATTGCTCGTGGGAGGATACTAAGTGAGATTGTTGCAATTGTTTTACTGGTGTAGATTATTGCGGCGGCTAGAGATATCCAAGAAAAGAAGGAAATCTATGCACCATACAATATTCTTCCACTGGATTCTGCCGGTGCTTCCCAGTCAATTATGCAACTCGAGGAGGTAGGACTTGTTTATGTTTGGCAGACTCTCTAGTCTCTACTGCGGTCCTAAATTGATCTCTCATTTCCATGCTGGTTTGTTCTGTTGGTGATACCATTTTCCTCTCCCGATCATTGCTACTATATCCTCAGGTCAAGGCTGCAGTTGCAGCACTATGGAATACCCGAGGGTTGTCATGGCCATCAGCTTTTGAACAGCACAGGCAGAAAGCAGGGGATCTGGACCTTCTTGATTGGTTAAGGGCCATGTTTGGCTTCCAGGTACGCCTTTGACTTGGAACCAATGATACTAGCAGTAACTATTACGAGGTTGGAGACCATTTGTAATGTGCTTGTTTTTTCTTTTAACACAGAGAGACAGTGTTCGGAACCAGAGGGAGCATCTGATATTGCTACTTGCCAACAACCATATAAGGCTCCACCCCAAGCCTGAACCTCTTAATAAGGCATGTGCTGACAGTTGTTGTTTAGTTATCATCCTCTTCTTATATGTAGGATGTTATGGTTAAGCTAGATAAATTCGAAGTGTAGATCATTAGTGCATCTATGTTCAAGTCACCTAAAATCCTAGTTTATCACTTGAACATCTGAATATAAGTGCATGCTGATGACTATGAAAAGGAGTAGTTTGTTACTGATGTGATTAAAATTATATGCACATCTTGCCTAATCTACAAATCCAAGTGAATTCTGAAATATTGATCAAGCTAACAAGTGGATCATTGAATTAGAATAAATTCTTGAATTTTTCTTATGACGGTTTATGGGAATCTTGTTTCTTTATGCAGCTTGATGAAAGAGCTGTAGATGCAGTAATGAATAAGATTTTTAAGAACTACAAAAATTGGTGCAAATTTTTAGGAAAAAAACACAGTTTACGGTAAGCATTCTATGCTAGTAACTACCTGGATTATTTTTCCTTGTGATTTGTTCCTCGATAGGAAAACTTAAGCATTCGAGAGAAGTTGCAAAGTAAGTTTCAATTTCATTTGTTACAGACTTCCTCAAAGCCAGCCGGAGATCCAGCAAAGAAAAATACTTTACATGGGTTTGTACCTTCTTATCTGGGGTGAAGCAGCCAACGTCCGGTTCATGCCAGAGTGTCTTTGCTACATCTTTCACAATGTAAGTAGTCATATGTTGGTGCATTTTCTCATTCCTTTTTTCAGAGTGGAAAAATTATGTTTTGTTCGGTTATGATTTCAGTAACAATATTGTCATCAAAATCTTCAGATGGCCTATGAACTCCATGGCTTATTAGCTGGAAATGTGAGCATTGTAACTGGAGAAAATATCAAGCCTTCTTATGGCGGAGATGATGAGGCATTTCTTAGAAAAGTTATAACACCAATCTACCGAGTAATAGCAAAGGTATGAGTTAAAAAAATTAGCCATAGTCTTTTCAGATTTCAGGGTTTTTTTTCAGAGAATGAAGACTTGTACTCGCATATTCCAGGAAGCAAGTAAGAGTCAAAATGGTACAGCTTCTAGTACAGCATGGTGCAACTATGATGATCTTAATGAATATTTCTGGTTAGTTTGCTACAAGGAAACTAATGATCTGAATTTAGTCCTTTGAATTCTTTCTTTTTGCTTAGATGATCAGTTTTTCCTTTTTTTGTTTCAGGTCATCTGATTGCTTCTCTCTTGGTTGGCCTATGCGTGATGATGGTGCATTCTTTAAATCAACACGCGATGAAGCTAAGGTTATACTAATAGTTTGTATCTCACTGCAATATCTAATTTACCCTGTATCTTGCTTAACAAAATTGTCTGGCAGGGAAAAAAGGCGCCTCCAGGAAACTCTGGAAGCACGGGAAAATCATATTTTGTTGAAACTCGAACCTTTTGGCACATATTTCGAAGCTTTGACAGATTGTGGACGTTTTATGTGCTAGCCTTTCAGGTATTTCAGTTATGTGTGGCAAAGTTGGTTCTGTAATCATTAGTTTCGGGCTTCTGTACCTTTCTAAGTATTCTAAAGAGTTGACAAACAAATTGTTGCAGTTGATGATCATCTATGCCTGGAGTGGAGTAGCAATACAAAATATACTCAGGAGGGATGTTTTATATTACCTATCGAGTATTTTCATCACAGCGGCCTTTCTTCGGTTCCTTCAGAGTATGTATTTAACATGAGCTACACTTGTTCCTGAAACATAGTTCAATTTTCATGTTTTGTATTACCTATCGAGTATTTTCATCACAGCGGACTTTATTCGGTTCCTTCAGAGTATGTATTTAACATGAGCTACACTTCTTCCTGAAACATAGTTCAATTTTCATAGCTCATTCACTTACTTGAGTACTTATTCTTGACTATCTAAATGCCAGGAAATGAAAAATTCCCTTGTCACATTGAATAGAATGCGAAGTTTGTCTTTGATATATCCGACCCCTTATTTTTTGAACATTTGTCTGGTAACTGGTGCTTCAAAGGTGTGTCTCGTTTGGTGGGCAAGTTTTGGCCTCAAGGTTTTGACCTTGGAGTGGGTTGGATGTTTGTCTTTATTCAGGTCTATATCTTAGAAAGCCACCCCTTTATATACACACTTTTAAGGTATAATGTCAAGGGAAGTTGATAGTCGAAACAATTGCTGTAGTTACACAATTAGACTATCAGCCTGACAAGCCACTTGTAGAGATAAATGAAAGATACAAAGTACTAGCTAGTTTGCAGTTAATGTCTACTCGAGGATAGATATATGCATTATATACACATGAGACTCTTCTTTTCCATTGTCTTCATCTTGCTTTCACACTATTATATTACCGAGTCCCTATTGAATTGATTCTAAAGCAACTGTAGATTTCATTGCTTATTTGCAAATAATTACTTAGTGCAAAATAAACATTGAGTGGGCTTCTTAGATATTGACACTTCACATTTAGGTGATTCAAACAACTGGATAGGTTTGGAGACTAAACTTCTTGATAGATTGTTATATCTGGTTTCATGTGTATACACTTGGTTTTCCTTTCAATTCTAATTGCTCCTTTCCATGGCCCTTCTTTGCACCTCATTGCAATTTCCTTTCTCTTGTTTAGGTATTCTTGACATTGTTCTCAACTTCCCTGGATATCATAGATGGAAATTTACGGATGTTCTGAGGAACATTCTTAAGATCATTGTTAGTTTTGCATGGGCTGTCATTCTTCCACTCTGTTATTCGGGAAACCTCAAGCAAGTGAGTGGTTTCACAAGGGGAATGGATTTCCTCCGCACAGTGAAGAGTATTCCTCCGGTATACTTGTTTGCCGTAGTTGTATACATGGTTCCAAATATCTTGGCGGCTTCTTTGTTCATCTTCCCCATGCTTAGAAGATGGATTGAGAACTCAGACTGGCTCATTATCAGATTCCTGTTGTGGTGGTCACAGGTATCCATATTCGCTCTGTGTTCTGTTCCAGCTATCTATTCTATGTTTTCCCATTTTATTTTTGAACTGCATTAGGTTTGTTCTGTACTCCTTCCCCACTGGCATGCGATACTTTAGTTTCCGTTTATTGTTTGTTTGACAGGATACCTTGTTTAAACAAGATTTAGTAGCACATAGAAGGATTACTTCTTAACATTAATGAAACAATGATGTGAAACTCAGAAACCATTGTCTAGTGCTTCTGAACTTATGTTTCCCAGGGCACTTCATGTCACCCACCTCTTATTTTCCGGTTTTGAATGCAGTGTCTCTATGGCACGTATTGGGTTCTTTTGCTTTCTTCTTTTCTATCTTTGGTCTTGAGCTGCTGAACTAACTCATTCTGTGTCTGATTGTTTTGGTCCCCCCATTTACCTGCAGCCAAGGATTTATGTCGGAAGGGGAATGCATGAAAGTCAATTTTCACTTATAAAGTGAGCTTGTTAAGGCTTCAAATTATGAATTATGTCCTTTTATGCAGTATGCCCTTGTTCAGATTGCATAATTTCTGATATGATCTTTCACTTTTAGGTATACTATTTTTTGGCTGTTGCTTTTGGGTTCCAAGTTCACGTTCAGCTACTTTATCCAGGTAATCTCATTTTCCCCCATGCTAACGGTTATTTGGTTAGTATTGTCTTCATCGACATGACAAGTAATAGATTGTGAAGGAAGATGATTTCAGATGGTAGGTTTTGGAGTATTTGTTGTTTAATTCTTATCTCTGTTCTACAGATAAAGCCTCTAGTAAAACCAACAAAAGACATCATGAACATTCGACATGTAGAGTATACTTGGCATGAGATTTTCCCTTATGGTACGGTGTGACATTCTTTCTCTCTATTATTTGAACTCGACTTCTGCATACATTAACATTCATCCTGAAAATGCAGCTCGCCACAACTACGGCGCGGTTTTGTCACTCTGGGCACCAACAATCTTGGTATTTATTCCATCTTTTGGTTTGTTTCTTGTCATTGCATTTTCTGATTGTGTCTGTAGGCAATTCATATGGGCTTGATGACAAGTTATATTATGCTAATGAAATTGGATGTAGGTCTATTTCATGGATACACAAATTTGGTATTCTATATACTCAACCATATATGGTGGTTTTGAGGGAGCAGTGGATCGCCTAGGAGAGGCAAGTGTCTCCAACCTTTCTTTTGTCATTTCCTTATCGCCTTTGCTCTGGTTCTTCACTTTGTTATTGTCTATAATTCATTTTATTGTGTTTTCTTTCACATTATTGGTTGGGAGAAATCACATTTTTCATGCATGCTAAATCTGGTCTTGCTTCATTTCCTTAAAAGTCGAACTTGTTTTGTTAAATTTAGGAATCACTTTATCTTTTTCTGTTGGTTCCTTTCTTTTGTGAGATTTTATTGCTTTTCTTAAGATTTGATACGGATAAAGTTTCCGGAGCTGTGAGATAAGATTGCAAGACCAATATTTCGTAGCTGAAGCTAAGGAAAATTTTAGTTTTATTTCCAGGCATCAATAATTTCAGTCTCAGCCTCTATAATTACTGAACTCGTAGACATAAAAAAATCATTTGTTCTGTGCTACATATCTCAACTGATTCTCTAAAGCATACAGTTGGTCCCTTATCCTTCATGCCCCTACTATTTGCCATATGAGGCATGTACTGGTTTCAAGTGCACTGCTTCCATCTTTTCAATTCCGGGATCAGATGGTCTGAGAACCTGGAAATGGATCTTTTTTGTTTAAGTGTTTGGATCAGATGTTACTTAAAAACCATGTCGAAATTGATACCTAGGCTTTAATTAATGTGCCATATCACAACTTTACCTTCCTTCCTTGCAGATACGAACTCTGGGGATGCTGAGGTCACGGTTTCAGTCATTGCCAGGTGCATTCAATGCATATCTGGTGCCTTCGGACAAGGCACAGAAAAAAGGATTTTCTCTGTCGAAGAGATTTGCTGAGGTTTGTTTCTTCTCTCTGGAATCTTGATTCTTGTCCTTGTGTTTTAATGCATATACTTAATTTGTGCTTTTCTTTCTTATCATGTACTTCATTTATTACATTTTTTGCCCAGGTTTCAGCCAATAGGAGAAGTGAAGCTGCCAAATTCGCCCAGTTGTGGAATGAAGTGATAACCAGTTTCCGTGAAGAAGATCTTATCAGTGACAGGAAAGGCTGTACAAGCAAGATAAATAATGTAACCTAACGCTTTTCCCTTTCATATTTTGATACTAAACTGGCGATTTCCTTTCTCCAGGGAGATGGATTTGTTACTAGTTCCTTATACATCAGATCCTAGCATCAAGTTGATCCAGTGGCCACCGTTTTTGCTTGCAAGCAAGGTCTTTATTGCCTTAAAAGAACATTCCAAATTTCCATAACTTTTCCCCCAGTAAATTGACTATACTTCTTTTTGCAGATCCCTATAGCTCTGAATATGGCAGCACACTTCCGATCAAAGGATGCTGACTTATGGAAACGTATATGTGCAGACGAGTACATGAAATGTGCTGTTATTGAGTGCTATGAATCCTTCAAACAAGTCCTCAATATTTTGGTCGTTGGGGAAAATGAAAAGAGGTTCGTTTCACTGTTTTATATCTTATCTTCTTTAGTTCAAAGTGCTTTTCATTCACGTGGATTTTAGAAGGAAAGCATATGACGTGTTCATAGTTGGGGTATTAGACATTCTTTCTTTTCGGTGTCTCCTTGATTGTTGGAAAACTCAGATGAGATTGATTATCGGTCTGGCCCTTGCTGTTTTTATTTTGCCTCCGAGAACTATATTGAACTGTCAGGTTTCCGAAGAATTATAACTGAACTGTTAGTAGTTTTTACTTATAGTTCTTTATTTATGGTTCTTTTTACTCTTTTCTGGAAACCATGCTCTCGTTTGTCCAATAACGTATTAGCCGATCCTTACCGAGCAAATCGACTTTGAATGATGCTGTATCATCAAATGTGAATTAGCTAGTTCACTTTATTCCCAACCTTTTAGTCTTCATATGTCATCATGAAGCATTTTGAACTTTGATCACGCTGTAATGTAATGGCAGGATAATTGGCATCATCATCAAAGAAATAGAGAGTCATGTTTCAAAGAGTACACTTCTTGCAAACTTCAGAATGGCCTCGTTACCAGCTCTTTGTGAAAAAGTTGTAGTACTTGTGGGAATCCTGGTGGGTCTCTTATTTATTTGTGTTTTACTTACTTGTAATGTTCAAAGTCCGTGAACATGTATATATGATTCTCCTCTTTTGACTATTTCCTTATGTTGCAGAAAGATGGTGATCCTTCCAAGAGAGATGATGTGGTGCTGTTGCTTCAAGACATGTTGGAATTGGTCACCCGGGATCTGATGGTGAACGAGAATCGGTTGGTATATCTTTTGGTTCTATGTTATCAATTGTCACAATTGTTTCTTTAATAACCATTAATGTTTCCATGTTACATTGCAGTGAATTAGTAGACCTCGGACATAGTGGCAAGGATTCGGGAAGGCAACTTTTTGCTGGTACAGATCAGAGACCCGCTGTAGTGTTTCCTCCCCCAGCTTCTGCCCAGTGGGATGAACAGGTAACAACTGCTTTTATCTGATCCGTTGAGCTATTAAGCTTTTGATTAGCGGTTGATTTTACCGTCCAGGTGCCTGAATTTTTTTTCCTAATCTTCCTCTAGATAAGACGGTTGCATCTTCTTTTGACGGTAAAAGAATCTGCCATGGATGTACCAACTAATCTTGAAGCACGCAGGAGGATTGCATTTTTCACGAACTCCTTGTTCATGGATATGCCACGTGCTCCACGAGTTCGCAAAATGCTTTCATTTAGGTTTGTTTCCTGATTACGTAAAAAGTTCGGTTTTATTTTTTAATGTTGATGAAACTTTGTATTATTGACTGAGGATAAAGAAAAGCAAAGGGGTTATTTCTGAATGAAAATGCGTTGTTCCCATGAAAAGACTTGATAGGGCTATTCAGGAAAGTCTTTAGAACCATTCATAGACACAGAACTGTCCTAAATTTTGTCTGTGGATAGTCCTAATTATGAGGAAGCACTCAAATTCGTAACCCTAAATTGTTCATTTTACCATTGTGCATATATGAAAAAGATATTTTCACAATTAACAAATTTCTGCCATATAATTTAACTTTACTTCTGTTGCCGTGACAGTGTTATGACCCCATACTATAGTGAGGAAACTGTCTACTCTAAATCTGACCTTGAAATGGAAAATGAAGATGGTGTGTCCATTATATACTATTTGCAAAAAATCTATCCAGGTGGGATGCTCAATCATGATTTTGATTCTTTTGGAATTAGAGAAGGAGGTTATCTATATCTGACTTGATAGTCCTTTTGCAACGCTGCCAGACGAATGGACAAACTTCATGGAGCGAATTAATTGTAAGAAAGAGAGTCAAGTTTGGGAAAATGAAGAAAATATCTTGCAGATCCGCCATTGGGCCTCCTTAAGGGGCCAAACACTCTGTCGCACAGGTGATCGAGGCTAATTTTAGTTCCCTCAAAATTGGATTTGTTAGCTTATACTGACCACTTTTTACTGATGTTGCAGTCAGAGGAATGATGTATTATAGAAGAGCTCTGAAACTTCAGGCTTTCCTTGACATGGCTAATGAGAGTGGTAAGTGAATTAGTGCTTATTTTATTTCAATCGTGAAAGTTTTTCTTCTGCTGTTAGATGTAGTCATCCTCGCCAAATTTAACCGATGGAATTAGTTGCAATAAGTGAAACAAGTTCGTAAAAGATGTTAACATACAGGTCCAGTCTGGATGCAGATTCAGGTTATCCAACATGCTGGTTTGAATTAATATACAAATCCTTCATTGGTTAGTTCTGGAAGGAACCAACTAACCAACTAGTAACTGTTTTCGTAGTGTTTTTTTATTATAAATTTCTTATTGTTATTCATAGGTTGTTAACATAAAGTTAAACCCAACCAGTTAGTGTTATGTGCTTATCTCTTTGTTCCCGGAGAAGACAAAGCCTTAGTTAGTGACGACACAGTTCTGTTAGCTGTTCGAGTTTCTGTCTCCTGTATAGCTCAGCGGGTGAATGCTGCCCCAAAGTGGAACTTTAGTAACTCGCAATAGCCTAGTTTTGGTGCCAAATCTTCTTCCTTTCCTTTCTGAGATACGAGGTTGAAGAATGGGTTTCATGTTTTGAAGATCTGAATCTGGTGTGCAGAGATATTAGCTGGCTATAAAGCTATTACAAACCCATCTGAGGAAGACAAGAAAAGTCAACGATCTCTCTCTGCTCAGTTGGAGGCAGTAGCTGACATGAAATTCACATATGTGGCCACTTGCCAGATTTATGGAAATCAGAAGCGAAAAGGAGATCGCCATGCAACAAACATCCTGAATTTGATGGTTAAGTACGTTATCTTTGGCAATAAGCTTTGCTGTCTTTAATTAATTTTGAACTGTTGATCAAGAGTCCTAGTCTGATTTTTGATCCCTTGATGTTGCTTCTGTAGCAATCCTTCTCTCCGTGTTGCATATATCGATGAAATAGAAGAGCAAGATTCTGGAAAATCACAAAAAGTTTATTACTCAGTGCTGGTCAAAGCTTTTGATAATCTTGATCAGGTCATTTTCCACACAAACTGGTCTAAGTTTATCAACTGCATCCACAAAAGATAGTTGATGTTAATTGTCTCGTGTCACGTCCCACAGGAAATTTATCGTATCAAACTGCCGGGTTCAGCAAAACTAGGTGAAGGAAAGCCTGAAAATCAGAATCATGCTGTAGTATTTACTAGAGGGGAGGCCATGCAAGCCATTGATATGAATCAGGTATAAATCTACAGATGTTCTGTTTGCTGCAACCCTTGAATATCAATCCATTATGTATAAAAAGATGTGATCCCTGTCTTTGTAGGATAACTATCTAGAAGAAGCTTTCAAAATGCGCAACCTTCTTGAAGAATTTCATGAGGATCATGGGGTGCGACCACCTACAATTTTAGGTGTCCGTGAGCATATTTTTACTGGAAGGTTGGATAAAATTTTGTCTTCTTGACCAATCGTTTATTGCTTATGAATGCTAGGTTCTATATCTAACAAATTATCTTTTTTATTATGCTCAGTGTTTCTTCTTTGGCTTGGTTCATGTCAAATCAAGAAACAAGTTTCGTCACCCTTGGTCAAAGAGTTCTTGCTCGGCCCTTGAAGTACGTACTTCTTACTTTATTCCATTTACCCTGCATGGGATCCCACTTTTCAAGCTACTATGTCAAGATAAAGCTATTAGAGTTGGAGAAAATTCTCAGTCTTAACTTTTTCTCCTTGATTTCCCATGTTTATGTAGTGAATTAACTTGGTTCACGATCATGTCAGCGGAGAATTATGCACTAACTTGTTGACGTTTGGGATGCTTTTTTTCTAATTGACTTTTGTTATTTAGGATACGATTCCATTATGGGCATCCAGATGTGTTTGACAGAATTTTCCACATAACCCGTGGGGGTGTCAGCAAGGCTTCTCGTGGCATCAACTTGAGTGAGGATATCTTCGCCGGTAAAGAGTCGAGTCTACCATCCCATCTTTCGGAAGATGTCTCTCCACTTAATTCTATACCAATGCACATCCTTTCATGCAGGATTCAATTCAACTCTACGAAGAGGAAACGTCACCCACCATGAGTATATTCAAGTTGGCAAAGGTCGAGATGTTGGGCTTAACCAAATCTCCTTGTTTGAAGCCAAAGTAGCATGTGGTAATGGCGAGCAAACACTCAGCAGGGACATCTATAGACTAGGCCATCGTTTTGATTTCTTCCGTATGTTGTCGTTTTATTATACGACCATCGGTTTCTACATAAGCTCAATGGTATGTCCTCCGCTGCCCTCTCTAGTAAAGTATATTTACGGTTTTCGGTTATATTATAGTTTCCTGTTATTATAAAAAATCCTCCAACCATTAATGTGAAAAAAACCGGTCAGTGTGGACGTAAACCAAATCCGTTTAAATCTATTGTTTCTTGTCATTGCATTTTCTGATTGTGTCTGTAGGCAATTCATATGGGCTTGATGACAAGTTATATTATGCTAATGAAATTGGATGTAGGTCTATTTCATGGATACACAAATTTGGTATTCTATATACTCAACCATATATGGTGGTTTTGAGGGAGCAGTGGATCGCCTAGGAGAGGCAAGTGTCTCCAACCTTTCTTTTGTCATTTCCTTATCGCCTTTGCTCTGGTTCTTCACTTTGTTATTGTCTATAATTCATTTTATTGTGTTTTCTTTCACATTATTGGTTGGGAGAAATCACATTTTTCATGCATGCTAAATCTGGTCTTGCTTCATTTCCTTAAAAGTCGAACTTGTTTTGTTAAATTTAGGAATCACTTTATCTTTTTCTGTTGGTTCCTTTCTTTTGTGAGATTTTATTGCTTTTCTTAAGATTTGATACGGATAAAGTTTCCGGAGCTGTGAGATAAGATTGCAAGACCAATATTTCGTAGCTGAAGCTAAGGAAAATTTTAGTTTTATTTCCAGGCATCAATAATTTCAGTCTCAGCCTCTATAATTACTGAACTCGTAGACATAAAAAAATCATTTGTTCTGTGCTACATATCTCAACTGATTCTCTAAAGCATACAGTTGGTCCCTTATCCTTCATGCCCCTACTATTTGCCATATGAGGCATGTACTGGTTTCAAGTGCACTGCTTCCATCTTTTCAATTCCGGGATCAGATGGTCTGAGAACCTGGAAATGGATCTTTTTTGTTTAAGTGTTTGGATCAGATGTTACTTAAAAACCATGTCGAAATTGATACCTAGGCTTTAATTAATGTGCCATATCACAACTTTACCTTCCTTCCTTGCAGATACGAACTCTGGGGATGCTGAGGTCACGGTTTCAGTCATTGCCAGGTGCATTCAATGCATATCTGGTGCCTTCGGACAAGGCACAGAAAAAAGGATTTTCTCTGTCGAAGAGATTTGCTGAGGTTTGTTTCTTCTCTCTGGAATCTTGATTCTTGTCCTTGTGTTTTAATGCATATACTTAATTTGTGCTTTTCTTTCTTATCATGTACTTCATTTATTACATTTTTTGCCCAGGTTTCAGCCAATAGGAGAAGTGAAGCTGCCAAATTCGCCCAGTTGTGGAATGAAGTGATAACCAGTTTCCGTGAAGAAGATCTTATCAGTGACAGGAAAGGCTGTACAAGCAAGATAAATAATGTAACCTAACGCTTTTCCCTTTCATATTTTGATACTAAACTGGCGATTTCCTTTCTCCAGGGAGATGGATTTGTTACTAGTTCCTTATACATCAGATCCTAGCATCAAGTTGATCCAGTGGCCACCGTTTTTGCTTGCAAGCAAGGTCTTTATTGCCTTAAAAGAACATTCCAAATTTCCATAACTTTTCCCCCAGTAAATTGACTATACTTCTTTTTGCAGATCCCTATAGCTCTGAATATGGCAGCACACTTCCGATCAAAGGATGCTGACTTATGGAAACGTATATGTGCAGACGAGTACATGAAATGTGCTGTTATTGAGTGCTATGAATCCTTCAAACAAGTCCTCAATATTTTGGTCGTTGGGGAAAATGAAAAGAGGTTCGTTTCACTGTTTTATATCTTATCTTCTTTAGTTCAAAGTGCTTTTCATTCACGTGGATTTTAGAAGGAAAGCATATGACGTGTTCATAGTTGGGGTATTAGACATTCTTTCTTTTCGGTGTCTCCTTGATTGTTGGAAAACTCAGATGAGATTGATTATCGGTCTGGCCCTTGCTGTTTTTATTTTGCCTCCGAGAACTATATTGAACTGTCAGGTTTCCGAAGAATTATAACTGAACTGTTAGTAGTTTTTACTTATAGTTCTTTATTTATGGTTCTTTTTACTCTTTTCTGGAAACCATGCTCTCGTTTGTCCAATAACGTATTAGCCGATCCTTACCGAGCAAATCGACTTTGAATGATGCTGTATCATCAAATGTGAATTAGCTAGTTCACTTTATTCCCAACCTTTTAGTCTTCATATGTCATCATGAAGCATTTTGAACTTTGATCACGCTGTAATGTAATGGCAGGATAATTGGCATCATCATCAAAGAAATAGAGAGTCATGTTTCAAAGAGTACACTTCTTGCAAACTTCAGAATGGCCTCGTTACCAGCTCTTTGTGAAAAAGTTGTAGTACTTGTGGGAATCCTGGTGGGTCTCTTATTTATTTGTGTTTTACTTACTTGTAATGTTCAAAGTCCGTGAACATGTATATATGATTCTCCTCTTTTGACTATTTCCTTATGTTGCAGAAAGATGGTGATCCTTCCAAGAGAGATGATGTGGTGCTGTTGCTTCAAGACATGTTGGAATTGGTCACCCGGGATCTGATGGTGAACGAGAATCGGTTGGTATATCTTTTGGTTCTATGTTATCAATTGTCACAATTGTTTCTTTAATAACCATTAATGTTTCCATGTTACATTGCAGTGAATTAGTAGACCTCGGACATAGTGGCAAGGATTCGGGAAGGCAACTTTTTGCTGGTACAGATCAGAGACCCGCTGTAGTGTTTCCTCCCCCAGCTTCTGCCCAGTGGGATGAACAGGTAACAACTGCTTTTATCTGATCCGTTGAGCTATTAAGCTTTTGATTAGCGGTTGATTTTACCGTCCAGGTGCCTGAATTTTTTTTCCTAATCTTCCTCTAGATAAGACGGTTGCATCTTCTTTTGACGGTAAAAGAATCTGCCATGGATGTACCAACTAATCTTGAAGCACGCAGGAGGATTGCATTTTTCACGAACTCCTTGTTCATGGATATGCCACGTGCTCCACGAGTTCGCAAAATGCTTTCATTTAGGTTTGTTTCCTGATTACGTAAAAAGTTCGGTTTTATTTTTTAATGTTGATGAAACTTTGTATTATTGACTGAGGATAAAGAAAAGCAAAGGGGTTATTTCTGAATGAAAATGCGTTGTTCCCATGAAAAGACTTGATAGGGCTATTCAGGAAAGTCTTTAGAACCATTCATAGACACAGAACTGTCCTAAATTTTGTCTGTGGATAGTCCTAATTATGAGGAAGCACTCAAATTCGTAACCCTAAATTGTTCATTTTACCATTGTGCATATATGAAAAAGATATTTTCACAATTAACAAATTTCTGCCATATAATTTAACTTTACTTCTGTTGCCGTGACAGTGTTATGACCCCATACTATAGTGAGGAAACTGTCTACTCTAAATCTGACCTTGAAATGGAAAATGAAGATGGTGTGTCCATTATATACTATTTGCAAAAAATCTATCCAGGTGGGATGCTCAATCATGATTTTGATTCTTTTGGAATTAGAGAAGGAGGTTATCTATATCTGACTTGATAGTCCTTTTGCAACGCTGCCAGACGAATGGACAAACTTCATGGAGCGAATTAATTGTAAGAAAGAGAGTCAAGTTTGGGAAAATGAAGAAAATATCTTGCAGATCCGCCATTGGGCCTCCTTAAGGGGCCAAACACTCTGTCGCACAGGTGATCGAGGCTAATTTTAGTTCCCTCAAAATTGGATTTGTTAGCTTATACTGACCACTTTTTACTGATGTTGCAGTCAGAGGAATGATGTATTATAGAAGAGCTCTGAAACTTCAGGCTTTCCTTGACATGGCTAATGAGAGTGGTAAGTGAATTAGTGCTTATTTTATTTCAATCGTGAAAGTTTTTCTTCTGCTGTTAGATGTAGTCATCCTCGCCAAATTTAACCGATGGAATTAGTTGCAATAAGTGAAACAAGTTCGTAAAAGATGTTAACATACAGGTCCAGTCTGGATGCAGATTCAGGTTATCCAACATGCTGGTTTGAATTAATATACAAATCCTTCATTGGTTAGTTCTGGAAGGAACCAACTAACCAACTAGTAACTGTTTTCGTAGTGTTTTTTTATTATAAATTTCTTATTGTTATTCATAGGTTGTTAACATAAAGTTAAACCCAACCAGTTAGTGTTATGTGCTTATCTCTTTGTTCCCGGAGAAGACAAAGCCTTAGTTAGTGACGACACAGTTCTGTTAGCTGTTCGAGTTTCTGTCTCCTGTATAGCTCAGCGGGTGAATGCTGCCCCAAAGTGGAACTTTAGTAACTCGCAATAGCCTAGTTTTGGTGCCAAATCTTCTTCCTTTCCTTTCTGAGATACGAGGTTGAAGAATGGGTTTCATGTTTTGAAGATCTGAATCTGGTGTGCAGAGATATTAGCTGGCTATAAAGCTATTACAAACCCATCTGAGGAAGACAAGAAAAGTCAACGATCTCTCTCTGCTCAGTTGGAGGCAGTAGCTGACATGAAATTCACATATGTGGCCACTTGCCAGATTTATGGAAATCAGAAGCGAAAAGGAGATCGCCATGCAACAAACATCCTGAATTTGATGGTTAAGTACGTTATCTTTGGCAATAAGCTTTGCTGTCTTTAATTAATTTTGAACTGTTGATCAAGAGTCCTAGTCTGATTTTTGATCCCTTGATGTTGCTTCTGTAGCAATCCTTCTCTCCGTGTTGCATATATCGATGAAATAGAAGAGCAAGATTCTGGAAAATCACAAAAAGTTTATTACTCAGTGCTGGTCAAAGCTTTTGATAATCTTGATCAGGTCATTTTCCACACAAACTGGTCTAAGTTTATCAACTGCATCCACAAAAGATAGTTGATGTTAATTGTCTCGTGTCACGTCCCACAGGAAATTTATCGTATCAAACTGCCGGGTTCAGCAAAACTAGGTGAAGGAAAGCCTGAAAATCAGAATCATGCTGTAGTATTTACTAGAGGGGAGGCCATGCAAGCCATTGATATGAATCAGGTATAAATCTACAGATGTTCTGTTTGCTGCAACCCTTGAATATCAATCCATTATGTATAAAAAGATGTGATCCCTGTCTTTGTAGGATAACTATCTAGAAGAAGCTTTCAAAATGCGCAACCTTCTTGAAGAATTTCATGAGGATCATGGGGTGCGACCACCTACAATTTTAGGTGTCCGTGAGCATATTTTTACTGGAAGGTTGGATAAAATTTTGTCTTCTTGACCAATCGTTTATTGCTTATGAATGCTAGGTTCTATATCTAACAAATTATCTTTTTTATTATGCTCAGTGTTTCTTCTTTGGCTTGGTTCATGTCAAATCAAGAAACAAGTTTCGTCACCCTTGGTCAAAGAGTTCTTGCTCGGCCCTTGAAGTACGTACTTCTTACTTTATTCCATTTACCCTGCATGGGATCCCACTTTTCAAGCTACTATGTCAAGATAAAGCTATTAGAGTTGGAGAAAATTCTCAGTCTTAACTTTTTCTCCTTGATTTCCCATGTTTATGTAGTGAATTAACTTGGTTCACGATCATGTCAGCGGAGAATTATGCACTAACTTGTTGACGTTTGGGATGCTTTTTTTCTAATTGACTTTTGTTATTTAGGATACGATTCCATTATGGGCATCCAGATGTGTTTGACAGAATTTTCCACATAACCCGTGGGGGTGTCAGCAAGGCTTCTCGTGGCATCAACTTGAGTGAGGATATCTTCGCCGGTAAAGAGTCGAGTCTACCATCCCATCTTTCGGAAGATGTCTCTCCACTTAATTCTATACCAATGCACATCCTTTCATGCAGGATTCAATTCAACTCTACGAAGAGGAAACGTCACCCACCATGAGTATATTCAAGTTGGCAAAGGTCGAGATGTTGGGCTTAACCAAATCTCCTTGTTTGAAGCCAAAGTAGCATGTGGTAATGGCGAGCAAACACTCAGCAGGGACATCTATAGACTAGGCCATCGTTTTGATTTCTTCCGTATGTTGTCGTTTTATTATACGACCATCGGTTTCTACATAAGCTCAATGGTATGTCCTCCGCTGCCCTCTCTAGTAAAGTATATTTACGGTTTTCGGTTATATTATAGTTTCCTGTTATTATAAAAAATCCTCCAACCATTAATGTGAAACCGGTCAGTGTGGACGTAAACCAAATCCGTTTAAATCTATTTAGCCAGCTTGGCTTCCAGTTAACTGGATAACTAAGACAGGTTAGCCATCCACTTCAGATTTTAGCTTAGTATTTGAAGAAAGTGACAAGAAACCGAATCTGTCAACTCGAACACTAGGCACATCTAAAAATACCCACTTCACTTGAGACACCATGATCAAAGTTGATGCTGATACCTACCCAACAAAACGTGCAAATATATTTCCTTGTTTCAACATTTCCTACTCGCTCCCTTGCAGGTGGTGGTCCTCACAGTCTACGCCTTCTTATATGGGAGACTGTATTTAGCACTGAGTGGATTGGAAGGTTCCATAATCAAGTTCGCAAAGCACAGAGGAGACACTGCACTGAAATCAGCAATGGCTTCGCAGTCCGTGGTCCAGCTAGGCCTCCTCACAGCGCTGCCCATGGTCATGGAGATGGGCCTCGAGAGAGGCTTCCGAACAGCGCTAGGTGATATCATTATTATGCAACTACAGCTAGCCTCCGTCTTCTTCACCTTCTCCCTAGGAACACGTACCCACTACTACGGCCGTACTGTCCTCCATGGTGGCGCCAAGTACCGAGCAACCGGTCGTGGCTTCGTCGTCCGCCATGAGAAGTTTGCTGAAAACTATCGTATGTACTCGAGATCCCACTTCGTCAAGGCCCTGGAGCTCATGCTGCTCCTTATATGCTACCAGATATATGGTAAAGCCGTGACCGGCCAGGTAGCTTACGTGCTCCTCACGGCTTCCATGTGGTTCCTGGTTGGGTCGTGGCTTTTCGCTCCTTTCCTGTTCAATCCTTCAGGATTCGAGTGGCAGAAGGTCGTTGACGATTGGGATGACTGGACTAAGTGGATAGGCAGCCGGGGAGGGATTGGTGTGCCTGCGAATAAGAGCTGGGAGTCGTGGTGGGAAGAGGAACAAGAGCACCTCCAGTACACGGGGATCTCTGGTCAGATTTGTGAGGTCATCCTTGCTTTACGTTTCTTCATCTATCAGTACGGCATCGTTTACCAGCTGAAAGTCACCCAAGCCACGTCTGCTGGACGAGAACATAGCCTATCTGTGAGTATTTATATATAACTCTCTCATTTATGCTATACTGTTGGAGGTTGAAAACATGTCGTTAATGGGTGGTAAAAGAATCACTAGAACTTGACAAGTGGGCTGGTTTTGAGTAGGATTACCATAAGAGAGAAAGTTACAAGTACTTAAAATCGGAAGGTTTGGGTCCTAATGAGTCACGGGTTTATGCGTACCAGGGCAATTAGTTGTCCCCTCTTCTCTATTGTTGGTCATCTATGAATTTTACTCTGCGGGTTAATGATCCATAATTTTGCAGGTCTATGGACTGTCATGGCTGGTCATTGTCGCTCTTATGGTAATCCTGAAGGTAAATATTATTGTTGTTTTCGACCTTGCTGTGAATTTGCAAAAATCACCGTGGAATATAAGTTGATGACTTTCACCCCATACAGGTTGTGTCGACGGGTAGAAAGAAGTTCAGCGCTGACTTCCAGCTAATGTTCAGACTTCTCAAGTTCGTGCTCTTCATTGGTTTCGTGGTCACACTCATCATCCTCTTTACTACACTCCATCTCACAGTAGGAGATGTGTTTCAGAGCTTGTTGGCCTTCCTCCCTACCGGCTGGGCACTTCTACAGGTACCGATATTCGCCACTGTTCGATCGAATGCATTTACAAACTCTATTTGAAATGATAAATTTCGTAATCATCTTTGAAGAACTGATTTGTGGGGGAGGATTGTTGATATTAGATCGCTCATTCATTACGAAGTAGCGGCATAGTGTAGACATTTTCATTTAACTGACTGTGGGAAGTGTAACTAAAACCTGCTAAGCTGACTTAGAACCTTGATATGTGGTGGCCTGGCCTGTTTCTCAGTAGCAGAAGTGAAAAAAAGGGAAATTGATTGGAAGTAGTTCTTAGGTGGCAGCACTGAAGTCTGTAGTCTCTGTTCCCGGGTGAAAAAATGAGGAGAGGATTGTTGCAAACTTGCAATTGGATTAGAGTTGTATTCGATTCACTGGTTTTTATTTCCGTCCATCTGATCCTGTCTGGCGCTAAAAAACACAGATATCGCAAGCGTGCAAGCCGATAGTGAAGGGGTTGAAGATGTGGGGATCGGTGAAGGCATTGGCGAGAGGGTACGAGTACATGATGGCGTTGGTCCTCTTCCTCCCCATAGCAGTCCTAGCCTGGTTCCCGTTCGTGTCCGAGTTCCAGAACAGGCTTCTGTTCAACCAAGCCTTCAGCAGAGGTCTCCAGATCCAACGGATCCTCTCCGGCGGGAAGAAGCACAAGTAAAAACCAACGATACGTCAGAATTCAGATAAGGTCCATCATTTTCTTAGCTTTTGCAGCAGCAGCGGTAGTATGCCATTTGGTGCGCATAAAAAAAGAGCGGGTTTGCGCCTTCTATATGCTTTGCAACGGTTCAAACCCATTCTTGTTTTCTATAATCCCACTCTGTTTTGTTGGGCTGTCTCTTACCAAATGGTTTCTGTATATTCTGGCTTGGCCAATAAGAGAAGAAGAGTTTAGCAATTTGCTTGTTTATTTTTGGATGCTGACTGACTAGTGGTTACTAGTTTAAAATAGCAATAACTTCCATGCTGGCTGCCAGTGCCTATTCCTCGAAAGCGAAGCATGAAAAAGCCTATGGTTATTAGAATCCTAGGTTGGCTATGAGTTAAGTATCATATTTTTTACACAAAACATGTTTAACTTTAGTTCTTACAGGAGCTCATAAATTTCGACTAAAAATGCTTCTTGTCACTTATTTTCTCCCGTTCAATGTTCAAGTTAATTTGCCATCTACCCAGAATGACACGCATCCCACCTTTTCATGTTTACCAAGAACGACAGACTGTTCTTTCTATTATTATTAGCGGATAACTACTTTTGGTAAACAATGGGGATTGCGGGGCCGGCCGGGCCGATCGTCCATGCTTGCTTTCCAACTGCGAAACCCCATGTCAGTGATAAAGTCCAATTGGCCGACGACCGGCGACGACCTACCATATCGTCCGATCTGCCCAGTTGGCTCCACGTCGCCGTCCTAAAATCTCAAGACCAGAAAGAAAGAAAAAAAGAACGATAATGTTGTTAACTCTTGCGTCTTGCCCCTCGTCCGTTTCTTCTTAAGTCTAATTATAATATTTGTGAAGCTAATTATCTTACTTACGTACAAATCCATGTGCTAAACCCCCAGAAGAAACGACAGGTAGCGTTCAAGTTTTCAGCCTCTTCCTACCTGTAGTTATGGAATTGTTTGTAAATTTGTAGGAATGAAATTTGGAAAATGACGAACATAATTATTTTACACGTACTTCAAAAGACTTTCGGATGCATCGTTCCAAAGACTGTATTACAATGATATCAAAACACAATTTCACTCAACTATTTGTATGTAATTTTTAAATCTTATTTCGAAAATATCTCGTTTCAAAATTTAGAAGTAATTTTACGATGAACCGAACTAGCGTTTATACCTATCCATCATCATCATGAATACGCTCAAGAAAGAAGCACACTTTTTGTTGGCCGGATTAGTTAGTAAAAAAACAAGCCACAAGATAACAAAAACGACAAAGGAACGAGAAAATTAAGAACACTTGTAAAACCCACAAGAGGGAAAACGAGAAAGAACTTTTCCTTCTTTGTACTTCATTCCTCCCTTTTTCCTAGTTTGCTTCACCTAAGCAATAACTTCAAAGAGTAACTAAGAACATAGAATGATAAAACCCATATGAAAGAATAAGAGGAACTGTTGTACCACCCCTAGACCCTAGTTAATTAACATTATAAATTAGTCTCTAATTTATTTTCTACCAACGCTTCAATAACACACCGTATATCAATATCATTTTATTCCATACAATCCATCCCAAATGAAAATTTTCATTTCCTAAGCTTGAGGTTCTGTATGCATACACATTACTATGCACATTCGGGTCAAAGTTTAACACATAGCCTCTTAGATCATTGATAGCCAGTATTTTTCTTGTTTTATTTCAAAATCACATGTATCATATTCATATGCGTATGAATCGTCATAATTCTTAATCTGTAATCGATCAATGACCCGTGCAACTATCAACACTTGTATCGCAATGCCATGTTAACTTACTAAAGAATGTAAGCACCGAATTTTCATCCGTTAAATCGTATGAAAATCGACGATGATTATCATCATTATTTTATATAGACTTAATTCTTATTTTCTTATAACAACGATAAAAAAAAGGACAAAGAATTCTCACAATTTCCAAGGCACGAAAGCCGTCTCTCTCTCTCACGGATCCGGTTTCTCCCTTCCCCGGACTTCGGGCCTCCGAACTATATATATAAACCGCTCCGACCAAACCCACCACTAGAGAGAAATAAAAAAGGAAAGTACCGAAAAAACCCAGCGGAGCCATGTGCTTTTCCTCTTCTCCACTTCTCCCTCCAACTCGCCACTACTCCTGACTCAGTACCCCTTCCCGCCGACGAACGAGTCATCTCCTCTCCCACAACACAAATGGCCGAGTCGCGCCGCCGGCAGCGGCGGAGCTCGTGGTGCTGCTCCATCACTCATCCTCCCTGCAAAAGCCCCGACTATGGCCACGCCCTCCCGTCCTCCAACCCCAAGCGCAAGCCCAGGCCCAAGTCTGAGTTCCCTTCGAAGACCACGACTCGCTCTCACTCGCTCCCGTACGACTCGCCCCAGAGCTTGAAATTGAGCTTCGTCGGCAAGATTGACCCCCGCAAGATCCTCTCCCCTGGCCGGGTCTCCCCAATCGACTCCGATCCCACGGCCGGGGAGCTCGTGGTATCCGCGGCGTCGACGGGGATGGCGGCCGAGGAACAACTCGCTGCCGCCGCCCTTCCGGCGGCGGCGGAGGAGGAGGAGGAAGTGGAATGTGCGAGATCCGTGAGGTCTGCTTCCTTCCGAGGAAGGAACGATGGTGGTGGAGGAGCGCTGGTGTGTGCTCCCGCCGGGGGCTCCAGTGCCGGGTCGGGTTCGGGTCATTTCGGGTTGGATCCGGGCGGCAGCGGGGATTCGTTTGACGTGAGGTTGAATTTGAGAGGGAGGAGAGGCGGGACGATGGTGCTGGAGATGAGCTCCGAAGTTTTGATGGCGAACTCGGAGGTCTTGGGGGAGCTGGTGGCCGAGTACAGGAAGGGTTTGCACAAGGTGAATCGGAGTAACAGTAATGGTAATGGTGGTGGGAGTAGATCGATGAAAGTTTGTCGAATTGAGGTCCCTGATGTGGAGAACCTCGGGGTTTTCAGAGATACGATTGAGTTGATGTTTGAAGACGACATTACTTCCAAGCTCTTGAAGCGTGGGGCTTATCGCGCAATTTCTATTCTTGAGGTATAGTTCTCCCTGAAAACTCTTTCTTTGCCCCATTCCAAATGTAATGGATGAGTCCAATTGAATCGATTGTGCTCTGTGGAAATGGTAGGAATGGTTTGGTGGGTCTTCATTTGATTGTTAAATTCAGTGCTTGTGCTTTTCAATGGTGCATGAGAATTGTTTGAGAGAGAAAGATAGAGCAGAGTTAGTTAAACACGTGAAACTCAGCTTGTGTTCGGCCGAATGATCTAACTATATGTTTGGGGACTGGTCTCAGGTATCAGCTGATCTTAAATTCAGCCGAGGCGCCTTATCGTGCTTGAACTACCTTGCAGCAGTACCTTGGACGGAAGAGGAAGAAGAAAAGCTCAGACTCCTAATGGACATCCATAAGTTCGATGAAGCAGCAACTCGAGACATTGTAGACAGACTTTATGTTCAGGAATCGAGCGAGGACTCACAATGGAGTTTGACCAAGCAACTTCTCTGGTCAATCACCTCTTGCACCGATCCATTTGCGAGAAATGAGTTGAAAGCTCTGGTGAAGGGGCTTGTCTCCAAGAGCTCGGTCTATGATAAACAACATCCTGGCCTGAACAAGGCAGATGTGTACGTTATCTGCCAGAGCTGCCTCGATTCCCTAGCCTGCTTCTTTGACGAGGCATCATCATCAGTACAGCCTAAAACCGACACTACACTAGCCAAAAAGAAAACATCAGCTGCTACTAGGCCTGTGGTCGAGAGGATTTCGATGCAGGTTGACAACATAAACTGGCTTTTAGAGATCCTGCTCGAGTGGCAGATGGCTGAGGAGTTCGTCGACATGTGGGGTAACCAAGAAGAACTCGAAAAGCTCCACGAGGGAGCTTCGCCATTGTTTAGATACGAGCTCAGCAGAGTCTCTGCATCACTGTTCATCGCCATGGGGACCAGGAGGCTGCATTGTCAATTCGAATCAAGATCAAAACTTTTCCAGACGTGGTTTCGTCCCATGTTGCATGATTTTGGTTGGATTCAGAGGTGCAAGAAGGGTTTGGATTTGAAGGTGTTGGAAGAAGCAATCGGTCAGTCGCTGCTCACACTTCCCCTGGCGATGCAGCACGAGCTGTTCATGGAGTGGTTTAGTTACTTCTCGAAGCATGGGAACGAGTGTATAAATCTCGGGAAAGCGTTCCAGGTATGGTGGCGAAGGTCCTTCCTTAGAGGCTCGGAGACTCATGGTGTCGAATCCAGGTAATAGTCGTTGCTGCCCGCCCCTACTAACTAACATGTGTTAGGTGGTCTTCCCAGGCCACGAAAGTCTCGAATCCTAGTGTGGAAATAACATTTTGTGTCCTGTGTGTGTATAATCGCTGTGACGAATTCCTTGTGCCCACGGATGAAATGGTGTGATTCTGGTTAATGTAGTAGTTCTTCCCTGCCCTCCATAATCGATTGTTGGATTCACGGTTTGGATTCGTTCTTTCGTTGATTGCTTCTTTGGAGTGTAGGGGATGTTGAGGATTTGTAATTTTTTTTTTTAGTGTGATTTGAAAATGGGATTGAAATTGATAAATTCTTTCAGCATAACTACACTACTAATGACCTCTTTTCCCTTGTTTCCTTTTCTTTTTTCTTGTTTGAAAGAAGGAAGCGTAGGATTAGGCTTCCAATGGCAGAACCTTCAAATATCAACTTCTCTACAACATCACTGACAGTAACTTCTTTTCATAAATGACAATCATTGGGAATAGGAAAAGGGTTGGTTTTCACTTCATAGATTTCTGGGAAGATTTTTGAACTTACTACAGATGGTAAGATTTTTTCTTCAGAGAGTTCCCACGTGGAATTTCTTTGTAAAAGAAAAGGCGAAGGTAAAAATATTGATTTACTAGTAAACAGATTAATTTAATTCATTAATTAGTAATCAGTGAGGCTTCAAGTTGAGGACGGCAAACAATCGAATTTCACATCTTAATTTGCAAGGTGCAGCTATAATTTGAGATTAGCTTAGTGCCCTTAATTGGAATTTGGAACGAGTTGGTTCCACAGCGGCACAGCCACTCTAATTTATCGTCTTTCAGTTGCTTAATTTTGGGCCAAACTCCAACAATAATTTAGAGTAATGGTGAGTGGGATTAAACAGAAAGTACTGGGTCTGAATGAGAAATCAGGCCCAAGTTATGCGAAGCTTGTATTTATATTAGTACGGCCGAGAACGCTGCATGAGAAATCTGGAAGAGAGCTGCCTCCGGCAAAGTGGCCGGGAAAATCTTTGCCGGCAGAAATGGCTGTTGCAGATTGGTCCACGACGTAGCCCGTTGGCTGGCTCAATG